AAGAAATGGCATCATGGTAGAACGGAGGATAAAGTATTTAGTTTCTGCTAATATTTATAGTTTAGTGCTAAATCTTTGAATAGTTTTGTCAACCACAAAAAAATCCTCGAATTATATGCCAAATTTAGAACAAACGTGACCAAACTTTTGAAAGCATTATCTCTGACTTACTTAATATATTTTTAATTTAACCAACATGATTATGTATAGAGTGTAAATGGAAAATGCACTATTGCCATAATAATAAGAAAAATTGGCTAAGATTGCCATAACACCAAAACTAAAATTATAGAAGCACTGAATATCTACACGCGTTTTTAGAACGTCTAATTAGTAGCACTTATTTATCAATCAGTTTTTCCAGTATAAATGAACACAAATCGGTTATAAGCTGACTCTTAATTAGAGGGTTTAAATCGCCAATCAAAAACTAATTCCCCTAAACAAAAGCGTTTCCTTTTCTCTAATTCAAATTATTTTCGAATATTATGATTTAACTAATATTAACTATTGTTTGTTCTTTAAATTAAAATTTGAGAAGAAATAAAATATTAAAATTTCTTTTTGAATCGAATTTATATTTTCACTCTACGTATTATGATGAATATGATATATGATGAAGGTTGCCAAACCTTTAAAAACATTTATCCTAAAGCTTAGGAAAATGTGTATAATGCCTAATTGCTAACATTTTAGTTTAATGCTTTCAATCCGTTTGATAGACAGTATAAATAAAAAGATATTTGGTGTTGTTAGACTGGCTAACTCAATATTTTGTCAGGAAAAATATTATGCAAGCCTTAAGATATTTTGCTCATAGGTTGCACAGAGGTTCGAACATCTATAACGAAATCTCGAGGCCCTAGACAATATTTTTCTAGCTAAAATATTGAGTTAGCCATTTTTAAAAAAATCGACTCAAATCTAACAACATAAGGTATAGTGCAAAATAAGAAGAAAATCAAATTAAAATTGGTAAAAAATAAAAAATAACGAAATGTTTAAAAAAAATTGTTATATCATCATTATAAAAAAAATTGACTCAAATCTAACAACATTAGGTATAGTGCAAAATAAGAAGAAAATCAAATTAAAATTGGTAAAAAATAAAAAATAACGAAATGTTTAAAAAAAATTGTTATTATCATTATAAAAAAATTGACTTTTATGGTAATTTAAAACATGAGACTGGATGTCTATGGCTGTAAGCTTTGATGTTTTTTTTAATAGACTTGTGCCATCTTTGGGAAATATGATACCTCTATAAGACCCTCAAGCGTTAGGTTGGACGATTGTATAGTAAAATAATGTTAACATTAAAACGCTTATACACTTGGAAATATAGAAGGTGTAATATGGATCCTGTACAAATTATCGCGTCTTTGAAAAGCGTCCAGTTTTTCAATTTTTCTTTTTTAAAATATGATTTATAACCATTTTTCTCTTTTAAATGTGAAAATTTTTATTAAAAAAAAAATCTTTATTCGTAAATTTTAGGATTTTTTTTATCACGCGTTTTCTTAAATTAAAAGAAATAAATTTTATAGAAATAAGTAAATTAAGGGGAGGTTTTTTTTTTATGATTTTAAAAAGGAATTAAAGTAATTACTTTTGAAAGAAAGAAGGAAAGAAAGAAAGAAAGAAAGAAAGAAAGAAAGAGAAGAAAGAAAGAAAGAAAGAAAGAAAGAAAGAAAGAAAAAATTAAAAATAAATATATTTAAAAGCCCTGAAATTTTTTTTTTTAAAAAAAATGAAGCCGGTCCGGACCGGTCCCTAAAATTTAAAACCCGAGCCGAGCCAGGCCGGGCCGTTCAAATGGTACCTAGGCAGATCTCTGATAAATATAAAAGTAGTAATCATGTGTACATAAAATTTTGCCTGCTCAATGTCCTAGTTCGATTTATTTTTGACTTATTTCTGTTTAGCGACTAAACAGCTTCTAAACTAAGATACCGCCCAATTTCGGTTTGTGTTAAGTGATTGATGGAATTGCTATTTTTTTTTTCTTCTTCTCGTATTCATTCTTTTTTTTTTAACTGTTTTTTTTTGTTTTTTTTCCTCCTACTTTTTAGGCTGCTTAGTCGAATAGCCAGCTGTTTTAGTAATAAATCGTGTATATTCGGTAAATTTAATTCATAACATTAAAATAGAGAATAAAATTTTAAGCTTGAGATTTCTTCCCTGTTTTTAAAATAAAAATTATCGCCCGACATAGGACATTTAGCCGATTTTAAATCAAGATGTTAGTCAAAATAATATTACTACAAGCCTCGAGATTCGTTAGATGTCTTAACCTTTGTGTCATTGGGTTGGTCGTTTTTAAAAATCGAGCCATTTTAAAAGACTAACCTCAAGTTTAGAAAATAAATATATAATTATACTTGACGTGAGAGGTGCCACTGGATTCTGTATTTATAGTGAATTAGATTTTTTTTTAAAAAATGAGATAAATTTAAATAGGTCTTATTGTTTTATAATTGATAAACATTTTGCTAACTTTAAAGTGGAAGGGGGGGGGGTGGAGTTGGAGGGTGGGGGGTTTAAAATATAAAAAATAAAATGGAGGTACTAATTTATATTTTTAAAGGATGTTAAGCACCAATTTACCCGTCCTATCTCATGCAAATTTTTTATAAAGTAAAAACTATATATCAATAAACGGATATTATCATATTCGTAATTTAAATAAATCAATTTGTTAGTCTTGTGTTTTCGTTTTCGTAAAATATGAAAATGTTGTAATATTGATACCTTCTAGTCTACAACGAAATATATAACAATATATATTATATATAATATAAATAGTATAAGTAAAATAATGGAAATAAGGGAGATCATGGGGAAAGCGGTTGGAAGAGTAACAATATCTTATAGTTGGTCTTGAGATGATTTACATATAATTTCTTAAGTAGGCTGCTCATCCCACGGTTCTAGTTATATATATTTTGTCGAAAAATTGTTTTAAATTATACTCATAAATTAATAAAATCTCTTTCTAGTATTTTATTGCTTTTAGCTATTTACCCTAATAATTTAAAAATTTTGTACAATGTGCCATAAAGCCTTATATTAAATAAAATTTATAGTTTAGGTAGAAGTCAAGTTATAATGTTTTATACAAATATCATTTTGGGGTAAAACGGACATGGGTAAAATGGTTAAAATGTTACACCTGATAAAAAAAGATACATTTTGAGATATTAACATCTCCATATAAAAAACAAATTATTTAGCAAAGAAGAAAATTAATATAAAGTTGATATTATTTATGCAATAAAAATTTTGAAAAAGTCTCAAAGGTGAAGAATAATTAAAATATAGGATGTGGCAGATAATGGGTATTCGTTTCAAGTGCGCTAATTTCTTTATATATATACCAGCACTTATTGAATTGAATAGTTTATAATTGAAAGTACAAAGGTTAAAATTGTGATATATTTGTTCAATAAAACAATAAAGTTGAGTTAAATTTTAGACCACTTTACCCTGGTGCTTAGCCATTCTACCCTGGGCTAAAATTTTTGCATTTCACCTAATTAATAATAACTCCTAAAGTATTGTAGGTAGCCACTACATTTTTTTTTATTGTTCTGTATTGCTTTTGTTAATTTATTTTATGATAAAAATATGAAAATACTGACCGTTTTACCTTGGTTCCTTTATATTCTGAAATTCGGAATCGAGTTATGTGATTTTTTTTGTTTGCCATTTAGTAATAATATAATTATATGTTATATACTGTTAAGTTAACTATAGAAGTTTTTTCTGAAATTTCTGATTTTTTTTTTCTTTGTAATTTAGTAATAATATAATTATATGTTATATACTGTTAAGTTAACTATAGAAGTTTTTTCTGAAATTTGTGATTTTTTTTTGTTTGTAATTTAGTAATTTAGTAATAATATAATTATTATATGTTATATACTGTACTGTATAAGTTACCTATTGAAGCTTTTTAAGTTTTCTCAAAAAACTAATGTAAATTACTATTAAGGGCTTTTACTATTTATCCCAATTTTTATTTATAAAAATCTATGTAATACTTTTTTTTTATCCACAAAGCATCTGCCACTTGGAGGGACTCATTATAAATTCGTCATTTGATTATATTGATTTTATTTACAGAAACTAAACACAATTATATAATATGAGACTGTAATTACATCCAGTAATACAAAAAAAATTATAACACTGTTTCACATAGACGTAGCTAGAGTATTGCAAAGACAGGGATAGGGGAATGCACCATGCATTCACAGTTGGCCCGGATTCCCGGCGAAATATACACTAATACACAATACCGAATATTTTGTATACTTCGCCCCAAATTCGTGCATACTATGAATGCAGGATTAGATGATTTTCCCCGTAGATTTTATTCGAGGTCTTTGGGTCCATTTATTGCAGCCATATGGCATTACATTATCCTTAAAATAATTTTGGTGGTTAACTATTTTTTTTATTAAAAATCTTGAGTTATAATCATTTTTTTGAAATATTTATTAACTTTTACTTATTTTTATTTCAAATATATATGTTTATAGTGGATATATATTGTACACATGGGGGAGGGGTGGGGGGATGCAGGGAGAAATTTATATTAGTATAAAATGACATTTACTAGGATAAATTTTCGAAGGAGTACTCCCCCCCCCCATCTTCCCCTCCCTCGCTATGCCTATGTTTTGGCATTTATTTATTTTACCCTTTTTATTCTCTCCTGCGGCCAACTCTCCAATTTCTTTTTAAAACGAAATGAAATGAAGGAACGAAAACGAAAAATTAAAAAAGAAACGAAACAAATAAAAATTACGAAAATATTTTAAATTACGTCAATCATCGAATTTTTTATTAAAACATGACATGGGAATAAAAATGATTCAATCCACTCACCAATCTCTCTTTTCTTTATGTGCATTGTTTTTTTTTTCTCTATCTATTTTTGTTTTTTCATTTAAAAATATTTTATTATTTTAAAAAAATTAATTTTTAATTTATTTTATTTTTGAAAGATAAGATAAATAGTTTTAATATTTTAATTTAATTACTATTTTTAAATTTAAATCGTTAATTTTACGATATTGATTATTGCCAAAACAATGTATCATTCCTTTGAAATTTCAACAAAGATTCAACACTTTCTCGTTTTTTATTAATTGGATATAAATCTTCTTATGAATTCGCTAATTATTTAAGATTTGATTCATTTCGGAAGATATTATTTTTCCCATAATTAAAAAAGGAAAAAATAAAAAAGGTATAATTATTATATAAATAATTTTTTTAGATTTTAATTTTAAAAATAATAGTATCTTATATTATATTTTATCTGCCTAATCTTTATTTAAGTAGGAATGGTTTTTTTAAATATAATGATTATTTCCATTTTGAAGGATTTCGGGGCAGGTAAGAACAGTTAATTTAAGATCCGTCAATCATGATTTTAAAGTTATGTTATAATTAACGGCTAATTTTATTTTGTTGGCCATTTTATCATTCCTTTTTTTTAAAAAACAAAAAATTATGGCAAATAAATGAAAAATTTTTTAAAAAAAATTGTGGGTGGTCAAGGAATTGGGATAGATGGCTTTCTAAAAAGAAAGTTTATTTGCATTTTTTTTTAAACCCAACGCCTAAAAGTTTTTCTTAACCTTTATTTTTTGCCCCCCTCTATTCGATTTTATAGTAACGATTCCAAAATTGTCGGACTTGGACCAGCATTTCCTTAATTCAATCGAGCCGGATTTCGGTTTTAACATCGGGTTCGACCATATAAAATTTTGAAAATATTATTGGTTTTTTAATGATATGCTTCTATTTAATAAGAAAAACATTAAATATTTTTCTTTTTTATTTTCTAGAAGAAAAAATCTTAACTTTATTTTCACTTCTCAGTGTCCAATATTTATGATCTTTGAATTTTTTCAGGATTGGACTTGGATCTTTGAGAAAAATAAGAATCTGACCAGATTGGTCGGAGAGTCCTATATTTTAAATGGGGTGAGATTCAAAACATTTTGCATTATATTGACTTTTAATATTACTAAAAGCTAAATTAAAAGGCAATGATGACACATATGCCATCGGCTGATTTTTTCGCTTCAAATTACACCTTCCGACCCGATATACCGCCGTATTTCGCGAACAACAGTTATTATTTCATGAATCCAGCAATAGGTCTCGGAAATGGTAATCAAATGGGTTACCGAGATAATTATAACCCAGCCGTCTTCAACACCTCATTAGTCACTTCCTATGATCGTTTGAAAGACACCAAAAATGGGTATATTATATGTCCATATACATGTTTATTATTTCCGAAAAACTTTTATAATATAGATGTAGTACCTTTTTGGAGGGATCTTGAAAAGTTTATTTTTACCAATATGTCTTGATTATATTGCGATATATTATCATATATAATGTAGATCCACCGATGTTCTACATATGTCACCTCCATCTGATCCCAGGCTCTCCAGAGACGAATCTTTGCTGCAAAATGAGTTGAGCCACCCAGAAACAATGAGATTTACATCTAACAACACTGATTTTAAGGGAGCAATTAATGGGCAAGACGGAGAAAACATTCAACCAAAGGGAGACTATATGGCCAACACAAGCAATGCCAATAATTTAGAGTTATGGGACAAAATGTGGCGCCATTATAATAGATGTCTCTATGCCGCCAACACTCCTTCAATGATAAACAAAGATGTTTTGACTTCAAATATCAGTTACAATAATTACTATCAATCGTATTCGACTTATCCTTCTTCTTTCCCTCAGCAAACTCATGTGAATAATAACAATATCAATTATCAGCATCAACCCCCTATGACTAATTTGACTAGTTCACAAAATTTACCAAATTTTCCCACATTTTACCAATCCTTAGCCCTTAGCGACAATAATGACGTCACGTCTCGCGTTGACACGCCAATCATCCAAGCCAAAGAAGGTGGTGAAAATAACGCGGTTAGCCACAACATAGACAGGCTTATCAATACGAATAACGTCATCTCTGAATCTCGTTGCTCGGGATTGGTAAAAAATTTTGACGATATCGATGATAGTTCACTACCCGTTAAAACCGCCCTGAGTTCTCCGCTGATTCAAAGTCCGTTTCCTCTCCCGCATCAAAACATTTTCCTGAACAACATGAATTATTGTCAAAATTTTGTTCCTTGCCCGGCGCCGCATATTTTCGCGCCATTTTATCACCCCAATAATGGTAGCGTAGGCGGATATTTCAATGCTTTAGACGACGACAATGGGTCTAGGTGCAGGAATAAAGGTTTTTTTTTTTAAAAAATCAACAATTTTATTATTTTAATTTTAAAATGATATATAATATATATCTATTTTGAACGTGATCCTTATGATTCTCAAGGTGCCATCTCAGCTTACATTTTTTTTACCCTTAGAGGTATTTGAAAAATATAATACTTTAATTTTAAGCGGTAAATTCTGTCACAATCGCTAGTATATGACACATAATAATTGGGTGTTATAAAAAAGAATTTATAATAAAACGCGCGATTTTTGGCTCGGTAAAAAAAATTACTGGAGCTAGGACAGGACCCTAAAACAAATTTTCAAAATGCTTATTACATTTTCCATATACCCCTAGAACTTTTAATTTTTCTATAAATATTTGAAAATTTGTCGAAACTATAAAAAAAAAAATCATTTAAATATGGCTTAAATTTAAATATTTTTCTCTTTTTTTTAATGTGGAAAATTTATTGCCATTCCATGCCTATGCCATCGTTTATAAAGATGGATGATAATCTAATGATATTTAAATGAGATAATATGAATAATAATTATTATTATAATTTATATATATAACTATAAAAATAAACTAAAACTAGAAACAATTAAGACAATTATAATCATTAAAAAATAAAAAAAATTTAATCTTTTTTATTAAATTAATTAATAAAAGTTTAAAAAATTTTTTTTTTATATAATAACTTAACTTACAAAAATAATTTTATATAAAAAGAGAGAGATTAATTTGTATTTTTTTTTCCAAAAAAGCCAAAGATGTATAAATTAACACCATATGTGGAATGTGGATTTAGAAGATTTCTTTTTCTTTCAGCTTATTTTTCCCAATTTAAAAAAAAATAATTATATTTAAGAGAGAAAAATTAAATGTTTTATAAGATATTTATGTATGATTATTTATGTACTATATTGGAATATAGATAAATACATTTTATAATGCATAATATTTAATTTTAATAAAATATTATTTCTAGATTTATCTCAAAATTTTTTAAAATATAATTATTATAAAATATATAAAAAAAATGGTTCAAAATTTTGTTTATCAATTGAGAATGAGATTATTTGATGATATAGAAGAGAGATTATATAACTTGTTATAAAATAAACATTTTTTCTTTGTAAGCAGTAGAATTTATTTATTATGTGGGCTAGAAGTCCGCAAATGGACTCATTCTGACGGGTTGGGTCGACGGGAGAATTTGAATGATCTTATGGTGGGATGGATTTGATAATTATTGTTATAAATTATTATAAGTAAAAAATTAAAAAAATAAAGAGCCAAATCAACCAACCATATAGAGACATTGGGTAGGCGGATTAAACAATTTTTTTTTTAATAAATAGGTTAACCGTGCCTTTAATTTAAGCTATAGGTTGTCTTTTTTTTACTATCTAGGTGTTGAGAAAACACTATAATTCACAAAAAGCATATGTATGATTACAGGACATTATATAATTTTTAAAAAAGCTATTATCTGACATGGCAGAATTAATAGTGTCATTTTTAGCCGATTATAAAAATAGGGAAACTGAATCATTAAACGAAAACCATAACCTCAGCTTCGGCGTTTTTTCTGGAAAGATGGCTCAATCTGGGAGACAGCGGAACAAATAATATCTCCATTTAATTTTAGTAATTAGAAAGACGTAGAGGAGACTTTAAAATAATTTATTATTCGAACCAACAACACCATTCCAGCTCTTGTCATTAGGCCTTGTTTTTAGTATAGCGATGATATCAAGCGATATGATTGTTCACTAGCTAAAACGATAGCTTTACTGTATTTATTACAATATATTTTATAAATTAAGCAGCGCGACGCTTTTCATGGTCACTATAAATGAGGCCTTAGACTTAACTCAAATTAAAATTCGGCCATGCTGCGAGTAGGACTAACGCCTTTACTCTTACCTATCGAAGCGATTGATTTAGCATAAAAAATAATATTATTGCTTGTATATCCGAACCGCCCCACTGCTATATTTTATCGCGGTTTTTGATCTAGCCCATAATTAATTTTACACAGGACCCGTAAAATATTTGTACAAGTTTTTTTTTGGTTCGGTCCTTAATATTCCTTTATGAAGGAGAGCGACATAAATAGGACTAATTGCGCAATTTGTCCGGCTCGCTTCTAGATTCTTTTTTTACTCAGACGAGTCGGGCTTCGAGCCGGGCCCCGCCAATCTCATAATGCATGTACTACATCTACAGTATTGTCATTTAAAATAATTTTAGATGAAAACTATGACCCATTTAAGTTGAACCTCGCTACTAAGCCTCGCAAAGAAAGGACCGCTTTCACGAAATATCAACTACAAGAGCTGGAACGAGAGTTCAAACATCATAATTATCTTACCAGGCTTAGGAGGTACGAGATAGCGGTCACTTTGAATTTAACCGAGCGTCAAGTTAGTTATTTTAAATTTTATTCTTTACTTCCTTACAAATTTTGATTCGATTTATTTTACTGACAGGAGAGACCGGGGAGGATGGATGGGTAAAATTTCCCATGGACTCGTATAAATCTATTCTTTTATCTTTTAAAATATCAAATATATGGTGGTTAATTTTTTTTAAAATAACATTATCAATCGTATTTTATGATTATACTCCAAACGGAAAAATATTTTTGAATTTAACAATTTTAGCAATGACTTTTGATCTAATCTTAATTTATATTAATTAAAATGTATAAATTATGGACATAGGTTATACAGAATTTTTCTAAGGGGGGGGGCGGTGGCGATGTTATATTAAGTGAAGTTTTCCACCATAAATTTTATTTTGTACCTTTAGTCCACTTATTGTAAGCCTAGCATGTGTTGTTAAAAAGGCTAACTAAATATTTTATTCAAAAAAAAGATTACGTAAGGCTGAAGATTGATCTCATAAATGGCACAAAGATTTGGGCATCTATTAGCAAAATCTCGAGGCTTAGACAAAATTTCTGGCTAATATTGAGTTAGCCGTTTTTAATCGGCACGAATCGAGCCGTTTAACAATACCTGACTATATTAAATTATAATAGAAATAATATTGGGCTTTCACTTTTTATAAAAATGCTTTTTTTTCTGATAATTTTAAATTATAGTTGTTATTTTAATAATCTATTAGCCTTTTCTAATTTTTTTTCTTTCAAATTATTCTTTAAAGTGATTATTTGAGGAGAGTGGTGAAGAGGGATGCATAGGTGGAAAACATTTATCAGCTTAAAATGATATTTACGTAGGCAAATTTGCGATGTTACTGGTGTTCTATAGGTGCTGAAATACATTTCCAATCTAATCCAAATTTTCAAATTTAAATATCGCTCTCAGTAGATGGTTTAAAATTGAGGGATTGCGAATCTCTATAAATTGATATCCCAACACATTTTATTATATTGACGAAAATATAATTTATTTATTTAAAATAAAAATAATAAAATTAACCTAGGTTAAAGTATGGTTCCAAAATCGGAGAATGAAATGGAAAAGAAGCAGAAGTTTAGCTGTTAATTCTTCCGACTCCGATAATTCCAGTTCCGATACATTGCAACAATACAATTGTTGCGACTTAAATTATTCTCAAACGCAGCAACTAAATAAAGCATCGTCTTTAAATCCTAAAAATTCCTTATTATAATCATTACTCTTATAGACTTGATATCAATGTACCTTTTAATTTTTATCCTTAAAATAAAATTTATAAGTAAACATAATTTATAGTATAATATAAATATTAATTTTGAAATATTATTTATAATGTGAGTCTAATCTAATAAAAATATTATTTCAATTTAAAGTTTCATTAAAGCTATGTTTTTTAGATCAAAATTGTTTGGCTATGCTTATAGGAGATAAATATTATGTATAAATTCTTTTTTAAACTAAAAAATAGTAATTTTATGGCAGAGCATAGGTTAAATGTTTGAAGTTTGAACATATTATTTAATGGTTAAATTTCCTTAATGCTTTAATTAATCGTGTTAAATAAATGCCCCCCCCCCTCTCCCATACGCTTAGATTCAAATTTAGCTCCAATCGAATGCTGGATTAGGACGATGAAATTTACATTAAAAACAAATATTAAATTTAAATTCATAATGCACAGAACCTACATGACAGGGGGGTGGGGGATAAGAACAGGTATCTAATTTTTTAAGAAGGTATGGGATAGGGGTAAATATCTATGGTGGGCAGGCTGTAGCTATAAAAAATTATTTAATACCTTTATTGTAGACTTTTTTAATCTACAACGTAGATATATTGTTAAATATAGACAAAATCTATTATTGCATACAAAATACAATCATAGTCATTGAGTAATTACACAAAAAACCTAATTCTGGATAATTTTCTGTTATATTTTTAAAGGGTAGACATTCTATTACACATAAATTTATGCCAAACAATACCCTATAATAAAAATATTCATCGTAAAAGAATAGAAGGCTTTCTTCTAAATAATAATTCATTGACATTCACAATTTTCATAGTTTGTAGTAGAGTGTCAACTTCCCCCCCCCCACCCTACCTTCGGAAATTTATCTGTTCTCGTAAATATCTAATAAAAAATTTTCCCTGCACTCCCCCCATTGGCTCTTACACTTTCTGAACGATAGAAGCAGTATCCCCCTTAGTAAACCCCTCCTCTTTTCAAAAAATCAATTTATTTTTTTTGACTCCTTTTATGTTGTTGAAAACAAGAGAGACACGTATGATTCTTCTCACTCCCATCAAACTGGGTAAAAAGAGATATATGGGGGTTAATTTAAAATAACAAGAATCATCGGCCTATTTTTGGGCAGGCTGCAGTTACCTAGATTCATGCTAACGCTTGTGGGCATTAAAAGAATATTTAAAAGAGCTCATACCTGCTATAAGTAAAATTATGGTTGATATGGGTCTTGAAAGTTAAATTTAGTTTTTATTTAATAAGATTTATAAGTTTACAAATAAGTTCATGTGAGTGATTAGTGCTGAGATTTGTTTTGTAAATATTCTATAGATTTACTACATCTCTCTCCATTGAATCGATTTATCCTAAATGAATAAAATTGAGTATATATCATTTAATTTTTATGTTCTTTCACAATAAATTCATAGAAACAATTCTTTCACTTAACAATTGATCAAATTCAATATCCATTTGCATCGGAAAACAACCTCCTGATTTCATTTTCAATTTTTAAGAATTTTATAAAATGGTTAAATTACGAAGTCCATTGTGGTACTACAAATCCTTGTTTTAATTTTTGGCAGTACATGTGGTAGTAGGAATAGTTTAATAAAATAGATAAATTAGGGAAAGCAGAAAATTGGAAAGTAAACGATAAGGAAAAATAAACCAATAGTTTTTACAGTCTGAAGCATTTGTCTCATATCAGAAGATGAATGTATTTAACAAGTCTTTAAATTATTTAGCCTTCTTATCATGTGTAATAATTACAACCCTCCTCCCCCCTTCCTCACTTTTTTAGTCATCGACTTAATATTTCAGAATTTTGACATTCTAAAACTTGATTTAAAATTAATTGGTAAAATTTACAGTTAGCCTCAATATCATCATAAAAATGTCTTTACCATCGTTCCCTAAAAAATAGCTTTATTACCATATCAAATGCAATATATAACACACAGGTTTAAAAGCTAAAATATATTATTATATTTAATAATGAAAGTATATGTATTCCTTTTTGGATTGTATTGTGTGAAGCCTATAATTACCAAAATCAAAAGGTAGATTTCTTCCCTTCACTCAATTAAATGTATTTGAAAAACATTCAAAAAATTAGTGTCATTTCGTAATAAAAATAAAAATATTTTAAATTAAACTTTTCAAATTAATCATGCTATCTTTTGACAATTGAATTTGCTTTATTGCAAACCTTATAACTTTCGATATGGTTTGCAATGTGTATAAGCCAAGCTTGTTTAAACAATATTTTATTCAAAACACATAGTGATAAAAAATCAACCCTTTTTATTCTGAAACCTCTAGATATTATAGAAATGGCAAGGCATAGCCACGTAATTATAAATATATCCGGTCACCGTTTAGCATATATCAATATTAGATAAATTTATTTTAAAATTATTTGTGTGCATTCATTAAACCATATGATCGAAGAAAAGCTGAAATACAATTTTGGGAAAAAATTAAGGTAAAGGATAAAAGTTTTTAAATGACAATAGTTCAACCATATTAAGCGCAATATCCTTTTATACATTTTTGTTAACAATATATTTAATATTAAATATGATATTCCTTAACTATATATATAATGTTTGTTAAAAGATTGTTGGAGGTAATATATTTTCCATTATATATAATATATATATATAAATAATTTTTTTTTATTTAGTCATAAAAAATATAAGGCATTTATTAAAAAGCTTAAACGGCAAAAAAAGAGGAAAGATAGAGCTATAAACCTCAAAAATGGCAAAATCAAAGGTTTTTTTAGAGTAGTATTTATAAATTAAATTATTGATATTAGAAGAAGAAATTTTCGCCCAAACACCTGGGTATTACAAATGGAAAGCTGACCAAGAGAAATTGCGATATTTAAAAGAAGAAAATGAGAAAAATCAAATGTATTATATTAATATACTATTCTAAATAATTTTTACTAAATTGTAAAATATATCCTATCTGTCATTTTAAAATTTTCCTAGTAATGATAAAAGCAATTTTATTTACTATTGATTATAATATTATTCAACAAATAAAAAACAAGTAATTATAGATTAAATTTTTATTTGGTAGAATGGTTCTACATAAAAATACCCCCCCCCCCCCCCTTCCCCCCCCCTTGTAACCCCAATCTTTCCCTAATAAATATAAGTAATAGTAATTTTATATACTTATTTATTCTTTTCTTATAATTAATGTTGTTAAATGCTCCATTTGGGCCAATTTTTAAGAATAATAAACTCAATGTGTCAGATTACTTAAATTTCAATAGCCATCTACAATCAAAATCTTCAGGCTTGCATAATATATTTCTCGATATAATATTGAGTTAGCCATTTAAAAATCAGTTCAAATAGAGTGATTAAACAATATTAACTATTATTAAAATAGTAATCTAAGCTTTATACTTTATTTCAAAATATACCTAGATCTTAAATCTAAAAAAAATTTATTTCTATATTTAGGAAAATAAAAATTTTAATACTTATTTCAAATAACTTAAAATAATGTTTTTATTTATGATATCTGAAAAAAGCTCTGAGAATAATAGGTTATGGCTTCTTAGGGAAAAACAAGCCATAGATGCTTTCAATATAAAGAAATATCAACAAGTATATTATTTAAAAAGATTTTATTTTGTTTTATGATTTTATTTAAAAAAAATATATATAGAAAATATAAAAAATTAAGAAGCACAGTTGGGAGTTTGTATTGTTAAATTACTCATATAAATCCAAATATCCCAACTCCTTTTAAAAGATGATAATCTACCTTAAGATTTATTCACATTTTATTAGAGCTCATGAACCACCCCATGAAAATTTTTTAATGGTTTTTCAACTTAGCTCATAATTATTTTTGCCCATTCTAGCATCTAAGATAATTTATAGTGCAAGTTGTCCAACCCATGCCTTAATTATTTTTGATGGATGGGAAAAGATAGATTAGTTTTTCCTAAGTTTTAAAAATAAATGTAATTAAATGGTCTAAACCATGAAAGTATTTTGCTCAAGTTGCCCAGCCCAACCCTAAAATCTTTTTACTGTACAGGGCAGCAAACTTGAGTTATGTTGGGCAAGATGTTTACAACTCATTTTTTTGACTATGGATTTATTCATAGTTTCTACCCCTTATTTCTTTGATTGTATTGTAAGGGTGGCTCACTGATGTATTTTGAGTAGAGTTGCTTGACCTACCACATAATGGATCATGAGTTTAGATTGAGAGAAAAAGCAATAGTAATATGGATATGTTTGTTCTTTATTACTGTGATTAAAGAAACTCATGGTATACACCTTTCTAAAAATATGCATTGTATACTTTTGATAGAATTGCTTATAGATATATTGATATTCAAAATTAGTTGGATAGCTCAACCCTATTAATTAACAACACTAATTGGGAAATTAAAGCCCCCCTTCCAGCAAAATATTAGCACACCAAAAAATTCCCCACTTAATTCTTGCATAAAAAAATAGAACATATTAAATTTTAAATTAATTTTTGGTGTATTGAATTAATAAATTTTTTTTAAACATCAATATGATATTTAAAAATATTTTTTTTTTACATTATCTTATGTAATTCTTGTTTGAAATGGAATGAACTTCACACTATAATATTTTTTTTATAAATTTAAAACGGTTTATGAAGTTTTATAGATTAAAAATTGACTTACAATTTTTGCATTTTCTTTTTAAAATATTGTAAATTAAGTTATCTTTATATACAAAAAAATATTTTTTTTAGCACTTTTTTAAACTTTCATGGATATGTAATTCATCATTATAACATATTGTTTATATATTTAAAAAAATATATATTTAGTCACCAATCCATATTCTTAAAGTAGACCGATCTATTAAAAAAGCAGCAATCAACATCGAAAAGGCTCCCCCCAGAAAAGTAACAAATATGCAAATTACTATAAATAATTTTTTAAAAAAAATTTCCGCCTCATATTAATTTCATACAATCATCAAAATAAGTGCCAATATTTTTTTTTAAAACTGGTTACATTTACAAGCATCACTTATTACTAATTTTTTTTTAGTCCAGCCCATTAGTCCTGTTAAATGGCTCGTTTTGAGCCGATTTTTAAAAACGGCTAACTCAATACTTCATCCAGAAAAATATTACACAAGCCTGAGGATTTTGCTCATAGAAGGAAAATAGGTATACATATATTATCGAGATCTTGAGGCTTGGGCAATATTATTTAGGCTAAAATATTGAGTTAGCCGTTTTTAAAAATCGGCTCAAAACGACCCGTTTAACAACACTACAGCCCATCCGGGTTTTCTTTTCTTTTTTTTTTAGAAGCAATCCCAAATTGTTTAAAATTTCTTTATTTTTTTTTTAAAAAATAATTTTGTTTTTGTAAATTCCTTCAAAAGAGGAAATTGAAAATTTGAGTAGGGAATGAATGAATTTCAAATGATCCATTATTATCAAACCTACTTATTTTAAAAAGTTATCGGTCGAGCTTGATTTTTTAAAACACGATATAGTTTTGCTAACTTCACTTTTCCGGATATACCAACCGAGTTCCGGGCCGGGTCTCTATGCCTTTAGGATACAAATATCGTTTTGTTACATTTGTAAAATTTTAATCTATTTTGTTGAAATTGCATTACAATTTGCATACAAGACAAAATAAGAGGGATTTTTTTAAAAAAAAAATATCCTATATTTTAACTATTGCAATAACATTAATTTATTGGAGTATTCTTATAACGTTTAAATTTTTGGGGAGAAAAATGATCACGTAACAGGGGACCTGTTTGGGGATGGGCATCAAAATGGGTTGAAATTAAAGAAAAATATTATATTTCGCTTAAATATATATAGTAGGCCACAAAAACGAATACAAATTGAACAATGATTTGATTCGTATAATTACGAATTGAAAATTATTGTATTCGTTTTTGAATAGGCTTAATATATTTAATATATATTTGTTTTTTGAATTTACTTGTATTGAATTTTAAGAAATATATATATTTTTTTAGAAATTTAAAATATTTGCATTTGATTTTTTTTTAGTGGAAGTTTGGAATATAATTTCTATTATGCAATTGCGAACAACATATATTTTTTTCCATGATTTCTATTTAAGAAATTATATCGTGTAAAGGTCGATATTTATGTTGACTATATTGATTATATCACTAATCAAATTGATTTACAGTTTAGTAAGCATAAAATAGTTTCTTAAACTCTTATTTATTTATTATTTATATAAAGTACTATTTTAAATAAAGTAAATTTGTTACTAAACAAAAATTGGGAAAAAATTTAATAAATTTTAACAAATTCTTATTGAGAGTAGAATATACTAGATAGCAAGGTTAGTGTTTATAATGGCACAACATCATACCTTTTGTTCCTAAGAATAATTGAATGCCGACTTCATTTAATCAATCAGGTGGTTAGTTTTTTAATGTTAAGGCTAAAAATTATCGCTGTAAGTACAATTTTTCGATTTGAAATATAGTTATAGTCAGCATAGAAACATAGCGTCGCCCAACGAATTGATAGAGATACCATCCTAAATACCGTCAAAGAAAATGCTTTTTTTTATAAAAAATGTTTTTATCATTCGGTTTTATAAACATTATCTCTTCACATAATTTGTTTCTAGAATTATGCACGGTCCGAACTGGCTAGTGGAGTTTTTTTGGAAAGGTTTTTCCGGATCGTAATTTTCTTAGCCCGACCTAACCCATATAATTATTTAAGTTGCCCGGCCCCATAATCTGTTTGGGATTCGGGCCATGCCTCTCATTTTATTTTGTGCTAAATATGCGATAACTCCTGCAATAATATGCATTATACTTTGCAATAATTGTTAACTTGTGTGTGTATATATATAAGTGTTATCATTAACGTAAATCGCGTCTTATATTTGATGCTATTTTTATATATTTTTAGAGAAGTTTAGATGATGAAGGGATAACTCATTTTTAACCCTGCATTCACGTTTAGCGCGAATTCGCAGCTAAGTATACAAAAATAACAGCATATTTTGTATACTTCACAATTTTTTACACTTCGCCACGAATTCGCAATAATTATGAATGCAGGGTAATAGAGAGGTGACATCGTTACGCAACGGGTTAAATGATGCTATAACTTTAATGTTAATAATGATCCAGTCCTTGCCGCAAACTCTTTATTTCGCACCCTTGTGATGATAAGTAAGGTAGGCGCGACATAGTTATAATTAACGAATGAGACTCTCTTCTCTTATATTTCTAACGATTTATAAGTGATTTACCGATACCTAAAAATGGCCGAACATGAATTTCGTTTTAAAAAAAAAATAAGGCTAATATTTATGTTTTCTTCTATATACAATCTGCCATTTTTTTAGCATTTACAAAATCGACCAACACATAACCCACTTGCCCCTCTCAATTACAATGTGGTGACCATATCGAATGAATCAGAGCTCTCACATGTTGAACATTCCGAGCTTTCGCATATTGAGAATCTTGAAAAGGCGCCAGCCGAAATTCCTGCGTGTCATTATTTCCAAAAAGTCGGGGCTTGTAAATATGGTGCCAGGTATTTTTTTCCCCATTTATCCATACTTGCTATGTAAATAATATATATTATTATTTTTTTGATTAGTGGAAGATTAAAAGTGTAGAATATACGAATAAAGTTAAGATTGCATTGCTACGAAAAACATTATTTAGATTATATACATAAACCTAGGTTTTAGCTGAAAACCTATCAATTTAGCGTCGGGGTTATTTTCTCTTTTTGTTTTTGTTGAAAAGATAGCTCAACTTTAAAAAAGCAGAAATTAATTAACTCGCGCATAAATTGCCTACCGTATTTTTTTCCGGTACACGCCTGTCAAATCAGCAGTACTTTATTTTAGTACCGCCACGCAACTACAACCCTCAAATAATAAAGAAAGAATTTATTTATTTATCTTATGATTTATTTGAAGATGCAATAAAAGACATGATTACCCGGAAACTAGTAACACTTTACTCTTTCCTTCCATGTATACCGAACCTACTGACTTGGATTCTATTCAATTCGATGGACAAAAACCTACCCCTCATTATAAGGTTTGTTTGGTTGATTGGATTTTAATAATCTTTTATTTTAAATATAAATTATACGCAATATATAATATAAGGGCCGCTATCTTATAAAGCCAGTTCATCCCTTCATTATTACACTATATTATATAATATCGCGTCATGTTAGATTAGTGTCGTTTAAACGGCTCGATTTAGCCAATTTTAAATTAAAATTTTTGCCAAAAATAATATCATGTAGGCCTCGAGGTTAGATTATCACAAATCTTTCTACCAGCTGGAGACCAGAAAAAAAAATTACTTATTAAAATTAGTTAAAATAACAGAAACATCAATTTTTTAAAAAATTTATTTTATAATAAATTTAAAATTTTTTTACGAAAAATGGAAGACTCTTAAATATAACAAAAATGATTCCACGAAAAAATGATCAAAATTTTTTTTAAAATTTTTTTTTGAATAAAAAAACAATTGTTTTAAATATGAAATCTTTTTAAATAGGATATCTTTTTAAATAGGAAATCTTTTATAAACAAAAATCGTAAATTACATATTATATTTAACATATAATTTAAAATTAATAAAATGAAAGTTTAAAATAAAAAAATAAATATTTTAAAATTAAAAAAAGGAAGCTTCAACCCTGGAACCCTAAATTTTAAAAAGGGTTTGGGTTAAGCGAAATATCAAGGTTTCAGAGTTCTCGTCCCTGGTTTTGGGATCCATTAATTGTTTGTACTATTCAAGAATTTTGTCCCGAGATTTTTTATTTAGCCTTTTAGCCGAAATTTACGCTTATTCGGATTCATTTAAATCTTTATACGAATTATCAATTTAAAATTATTCCATTAAAAAAATAGGAGTTTTATCGAGACGTATACGCTGAAATGGAAAAATCGGGACTAATTGCCAGAATGGTTACTTGCAAAAATTTTGACGCCCATTTAAGGGGAAACGTTTACGTGCAATATGAAGAGTAAATATCTAAAAAATTTTTAAAAATAATGTTTTAATTACTTCTAGAAGACGTATAACTTTAAACTACAGTGTTGTCAAAATAAATATATGTAACTTATTGCTCATGACTAGTTAATTTTTTTTTTAGACAAAATGTATCTCTAATTAATTAAGTATTTATTCTTAAATTACAAGCTACTCAGTTGCTTTGAGGTAAAATGTAACCCTAACCTATAATAGTAACGATGAATAATTTTAGCAACATTAGCTAGCAGGAGATCAAGAAAGGGGGTTTGCCCGAGCTCCCTAAAAAATTTTTTTAAAGATTTATAATTGAGTTTTTTTGGCCTCCCAGAAGATTAACATTTTTGATTTGAATATTCTTGAATTTTCGAGAATAATCGGCGCTTTTTTAAAATGAGTTTTAATAACAACTAATAGTCATGGGGGGGGGTGGATGTACATAAACAAAAATATTTATTGGTATTTCTGTTGACATTGGCATAGTGTCTTACCACATATTGCAATACTTTCCATCTTCACTACATTTTATATTATAGAAGGCAGCCTAAGAAATTTATTTGTATTCTATTTGTTATTTCATCAATAATCGTGGGTACAAAATTGAACGTTTCAAACCACCCCCCCCCCCTGTATTTCAAATGGCATTCTGCAAATTGTTCATTACCGTTTGGCGTTAGAAATCATTTAAAAAATGCAAACTGGCTTCTTTTTATTACTTTTTTATTCATTTATTTTGCACGTTCCTCTACGACCATTTAAGAACTCGGGTTTTTTCGCAAGAAAGCCGGCAAAACTTAATTCACAGATAAGAATAATATAATGGGGGGGGGGCACTAAAAATCTTTTCCTATTTGTTTAATTATATGTAAATTAAATTAAATTAAATATTATATAAAATATATAAAAAGATGACTTATCTTTTAAAAATGAAATATTTATAAATTAATCTTAAAAAGGCAGACGATATTTATAAAACCAATTCTTTTAAAAAATTTTGAAACCAAGGCTGCATTTATAGTAAACGTTATCTTCTAACGCAACGTTATTACAGCTGATTCAGTTTTAAAAACTAATTTAAGATAAAGCTACCTAAAGCTATAATAAAATTTGAAAATCATGTTGCGATGCTTTAAAAATTTGCCAAACAATTATAAAAACAATAGTGAATTCGATAAAAAGGTTAATGATTTTTTAAAAATATTATATAAAATAATTATATCTATTTTAGCGTTATCTTATTAAATTAGTTTTTAAAACCGAATCAGCTGTCATAACGCTGATTTAAATAACCCAACGGTTGAAGATAACGCGTTTACTATAAATGCTGCCCTATACTAATAAAAAAAACTGCCAAAATTAAAAAATATACGGCGAAACGCAAACTCAATATGGGCTCACTATTACGTCATTTTTTGAATGATAAATTAATATAAATTATGGTAAAATAAGATAAGTTGCAAACATATTGCATGTTTTTTCAAAATAATTATTGTCAAAAATAAAAGGATCGAATCGGCGGTTGAAGCATTCAAAACTGTAAATGGGAGATGGTACGCCGGCAGAAAATTATCTTGCTATTTTGTTAGTATTCCCTCTTGGAGATCATCTATTTGTGGTTAACGATACTTACTGATATATTGATTGACATTTTTATTTTTATATTACAACGCCAAAGTGTTTTTTTTTTCAGTCATTGTGTTATTTTCCCCTGTTTAATCATTTTTTTTGAGCGCGTTTTTAAAAAATCTAATTTAATCAAAATATTCGAGCATGTTTAGAAAACCTATTCTGGGAATTTTTAGAAAATTTAATCTTGAAAGTTTGTATTATTTTGCTCATAGACTCAAAATTTAACGGCAAAATTGTTTGAAATTCATAGTGTAAATAAATATTCTAAACATGCTATAATACATTTCCGGTAATATCTTATTTTTAAATTTAAAAAAGCTCGCTCAAAAAAATGGTTTAAAGTTGTCATAAAATAACACATTGACAGAAAAACACATTAACGCTGTTTCCATTTTTACTAATAATATGATTTGTTTTACACACATTTCCATGTATGTTTAAAAACATTCTTATATAGTTATTTTACTTGGCTTAATTATTGTAAAAAAGACATTTTGATATAATGTAGAAAAAACTATTATTAAATTTTTTTTAAGACTTATAAAAATTGGGAAATTGGGTTGTGTTCAAAACTTGTTTCAAAAGTTCTAAAACTTTAGTGAGAAGATACACGTTTAAGTTATTAAATTTTCTTTTTAATGTTAAAGGTTTTAATATTTATGAATATAGTTTTTTATTATGTTTTGGTAGCAAGGTTATAAGAGAGGGATGATGAAAATTTTTAATTTTTTTATAATTTTACTTTTTTAAAATACTTGAAAAATTTGTTTAAACTTAATAAAGTAATATAATATATTAATATTTTAATTTTAGTCATCTAAATATTAGAAATTAGAGCATTAAATTGGATTAATTTCTTAATAAACTTAAAAAAAAAATTCGAATTTAGGGTTTTTATGTTTAGATTTTTTTAATGATCAATTCGAGATATCAAAATATCAAAACCATTTATCATATTCTATTTATATAAATGTTGTATGATACATATCAATTATAAATTTAATCATATAAAGGATTGCATCTAATTCCATCTTCAATGAATTTTGTTGTGTGGGAATAAGAATTTGCAAAATCATATATAAAATAACTCTTTAAAATATGCGTAATAGCATAATTTCTATTTTATTAATTGGTTTAGGATAATTTGATCTGTTTTGATTTATATAAGAACTTTAATTTCTTTAAAGATGTTTTTCTCAACATGTTTTTTCAAGTAAAAGTTTAAAAAAACTCAACAATTTTTACAACAATTACAACAAGTAAAATAACTATATGCCTATGTCTTCGCTAGCAATAAAAATGTGAATATTCGTGCATTTTTAAAAATGTGAATATTCGTGCATTTTTAAAAATGTGAATATTCGTACATTTTAAAAAATGTGAATATTCGTGCATTTTTAAAAATGTGAATATTCGTACATTTTAAAAAATGTGAATATTCGTACATTTTAAAAAATGTGAATATTCGTGCATTTTATTTTCTTAAAATCTGAAAACAATTTAAACAGACATGATTGATAGCAAATATTTACCAATATCTTTTATGCGCATTAATAAAAAGGTTTTTTTTTTTCAATTACATGCGAAGACGTAGCATACAAAAATGTTTTTAAATAATACATGGAAATAGGTTACAACATTTTTCTTCTTCAAATCTAAGTGCCTTTCATCATCATAGTTGTGTCCTTTTTCAATAACGAATTAGATTTAATGGAGTATAATAAAAGACACGTTTGAGTAGGTAAATTATATCACTTAGATATTTTTTTATAAACTAAGTTTTTAATTTGAATTTTAATGTGATATTTTTAACCCGACCTTTTAACGCGTATTATTATGATTGATAATATAAGGAATAGGATAAGTAGGCGAGTAAAAAATAAAGGACTACGCGCGCGACTATCATTATTTTTGTTATCAGCAAATTTTTCAGCCAAAGGGATACATTTAAATGACTCATTAAATTAATTAAAAACATTTAAATGATAAAAACTTGATTTGGACTTTTTGTTCATTATTATGTGTACCGCCATTTTAATTATGCAAATAATGTTAGTCATATTCACATGTATGTCATTTTTTATTCTACCCTCAAAAAATGATATAAAGTGAGTTAATTTCAAATGTATTCATTTTAAAGCCCTGTATCCGACCTATTTTTTCGGGTTCAACCCCTATCCCAAAATATAAAGATTTTTGTCCGACCAATCCGACCCGATAAAGTTTTTAACAATGTGAAAAAAAATGTCTAAGATCAATCCGTTCCGAAATAAATCGTAAAATCATGATCCGAATCTGACAGAGTTTGAGAAGATTTCCATTTGGTACGCTCAGGGCTCTAATTCATTTTAGCATGACCTTAAGAATTCAAATGTGATTAATTTTTTTAAAATTTATATATGTTAAGGTCTGTACATGAGGGGTCAATGTCCCAAAGGCAGGACCTGCAATTACATTCATTCCTTTCCCGAAGTGCATATAAAAAACTCCATATCTCGATTGAATAGTAAGCATTCATCGATTTTCGAAAATCGCCGATCAACAGCTGACCGATCTAACGCCCCCGATAGACAACCTCATTTGTTAAAACATCGGAAAGAAGCGCGAATGATAAAATTGCATAATAATAATGATGATAATAATTATAAATCTCTCCGCGAAGATAATAAAGACAAAAGGATAGAAAAATACAAAAATAGGAAGAAAGAGAAGAAGAGAAAGAAGAAGAGTAAAAAAGAGAAAAAATCCAAGAGAAAAGAAGTATAAAAAAGAAAGAATGGATGATAGACTAATGTTGGAAAATACAAATTGACTGATAATATCTTTATTATGATTTATCATATAGTGCTTAGTCTAATGATTATTGCTAGTCACAAATGCTCAATTTATTCATCCATGAACATGGATAAACATTGCCATTTTTTCACAACGGGCTGAAACTCAGGATCAGGGAAATAAATATCCTTGAAAATCTTTCTAATTTAACTTTAAAATAATACACTTATTTATAATTTATAACCGACTGTGTTATATCATATTACTATGTTTATGTATTTGCCTAATGTTAATGTATTTTATAATAATAAAATTCTTTTTGATCGGTACATAATTTTTACATGTAGTAACTTAAAAAATATCCGAATTTAAAAAAATCAATATTATTTTACGGATCGGGTAACTAGCTTCCGGGTTGGAGTAATTTTCAAAAAAATATATTCAAATATAAATCCAAATACGTTTAAAAAAAATGTATTATACATATACGATATACTTGAATTTGAATTGATAGATAAATCATAAAAGCATGTTCTCTTTTTCTAAAAAGTCAATCATTAAGTTATATTTATTCAACGCATAAGGGGATTTTATTAAGTTTTTATAGAAATATATATTTTTAAATATTTAAAATTAAAATCTTTCGTACCATTAGTTAGACATAGAAAAAAACCTGATTCTGACATGATCAGGAGAAAGGGGGAAATAGAGGATCTAAATAAAATTATAAGCACATTTCATAAAGTTCTAGAAATAAGTGGCGTTATTGGCTCTGACCATTTGGGGTTGCTTAAAAGCAGTGTCTTTGACACCCTGACATCACACATGCATTCACGATTTTACCCTTTGCCTCTTTGAAAAATTTTACCGACTACCTGCAATTTTTATCCTCACCAACCTGAAATTTTCTACTCCCCCCCCCCCATCAAAAATTAAATTGAATCACTTCCTCATTGAAATACACACTGTAAACTATAAATAAATATTACTGGTATACCAGAAAGATAATATATAAATCAAAAAATTTTTTTGGGCCATACCGAACAATAACAATTTATATATAGAATATCAAGCAAGGCATCAATCACTAATCTTTTATTTTTTTAAAATTTTAATAGGCCAGCCGGGAATTCAAATTTTGATATATATTCCTTTTTAAATTCAAGCGAATATATTGGTTCATACTATCTGAAAATAAATTACATTATACCTGATTTCATTGTATTTTAAGAGTGGTGGCTTTAACTAAAATGCTAAAATTTATAAATATAATAGTAAATTCACAGAAAAATAAACAATTTATTTATAAACCATCTACAAACACACGATGCAGATATAAACAATTTATTTATGATCCATCATCAAACACAACTGATTTATAAAACGATTGCTTTAAAAATAAAAACCCATAGTAGAAAGATATAATAACCTTAATTGACATTGGGAAAAAATTAGATATAAATATTAAAATGTAATGGCCAAAAAATTTTACTGCAGTTAAAGCCGTTCTCTTCTATTAATAATATAATTTTAAAAAAATGCTCATTGAAAATTCAGAAAGGTTTGAATACAAAAAAATTATAACGGGCTGGCCCTGGCAAAAAATTTAAAAATTTTTAATGAAAGAAGTGGGCAGGACTTTACAGACTTAATATTTTTTTAAACATATTTTAAATTTTATATATCTGTAGGAAAGTTAAAATATACTGCAAAATAAGGAGTTATAATGATAATAGCATCATAAAAATAGACGACTATAAGTACTTGGATGCTTAACAACCAATATATCAAAGATAATTTTTACTAAATATACAAATAATTATAAAAAAAATTAAAAAAACATATAGGAAAAATGGATCAGAATCACTAATATATTAAATAAATTGACTACATAGTAAAAAAAATCAAAATAACCCCCTTATGTGAAAAGGAGATTTAAATTTAGACTTGCTCAGTTGCTAATATTAAATAAGGGCTGCTGAGCAATTATCTACTCCACACCCCCCCCCCCCCCTTCACGCCTAAAATTTTTTTTTAATTAAGAGTTAGACAAAACAAAATGGAAAGTCCTAATAAATTGATTAAATAATTTAAAGATTCATGAAATTAATATCTTTATACCTTTCTTATAAATGCTTATTTCTTATGTAATTATTAAATCCTTGTTTTTATTAAATTTGAAGTGTCATAAAAAATAGTTAGTTTAAAATTAGCAGATAGTTAAACCAAGTGTTTTAAATTGTGATTTATATTGATAATTCAGGAATTTGTGTGCATTACATTCACTAATCTACTCAAAATGAGTCAGAGGATGATTAAACTAAAATATTTAAGCCATGAATTTTATTGAAATTTTGTCTAAAAGTGATTTCAGGAATTTCTATGTATTAAAACATTTCATTATTCTCAGAAATGGACATTTAGCTATTAACATTTGAGGATTTAGATGAATAAGTTCGAAATATTAATGATATAAAATCACAGTGCTCCAGTTGAAATTTATGGGGTTAGGATTAAATTAAATAATGTCACAAAATATTTAACAATATAAAATGAGTTCATTTTTATCTATTCTAGATTGTTATTTAACCCAGATTTTATCAAGGGCTAATAACAAATAAAAATTATAATTTTACACAATATCAATGCGCGTTTTTATTTATTTATTTATCAAATAAAATAAACAAAATTAAAAATGGCGGATTTTAATAAAAATATTTTTTCAAAATGTCCATTATATTTTAATAAAATGATTTATTCCATCCTCACTATTGATTAACGTCTCAAATTTTTCTAATTAATCATAGGTTGTCAATTATATCCTAATACATCAATTCTATTCTCAGCATCAATCAACCAAATAATTTAACAATTCTTTTACAAACGGTGACGATGAATGACAAGAGTTAGTTAGCTGCCATTCAAAAGTCTTGTTTTAATACAAATCAAGTAAAAAACATTTAGAAATATCAATAAAATATAATTTATGATAGATATGTTTAGTAGATAAAGTTATCTTACATGATTGATACCTTGGATGATATAATATTTTTATAAGTAATATTGAGGCTATATTGTAAATTCCACTTAAGAATATTCAATTATTTAACTTATAGCCTTTATACAATATAAGAAATATAAAACAGGAATATTATTCTTAAAGATTTTTAGATGCGAAAAATATAAGCTGAAAATATAAAATATTTTCTAGCACATATGTTATCCATATATCAAGGTGCTATAGATGGATTGAAGTTCAGTTTAATTTTTAAGAAGCTCTTATAAATTATCTTTAACTGGTTATTTAGACCATTTTAACAGATTATAAACAAGCTTTTGCACCTAACTTTTCAACATCTTTAGAACGGCCTTTGATAATATATTGATATCTAATTCATTCCTTTTTTTTCTTCAAAATATTTGGCTACCATTTTTTTTAACGGGTTAACGACAAAGCGCCTTAAAAATTTAAATTAATAAACAAAAACATTTATTTGCTTCAATTCAATTGGGATTATGCACTTTTTTTGACCAATCAAAATAATGTATTTTTATAAAAATTTCGCACTTCCTGTAAATTTTATTTGAGGAACTTGAACAAGATTTATTGGATGGGCATGGGGCCTTTGGGGCGGAAACTAACATTTTTAATTTTTTTTACATTGGTTCTAAATAGAACCAGAGACCTTCATGGGCCGTAGGCCCATACCCGGCCCATGGGCCCCACGGGTCTAATATTATATTTTCTCTGAGTAGGTCCTGAATTAAAAAATTTTTTTTAATGGGCTGGACTTGGGCCTAAAATTATTAAATTTAGATTATTCAAAACAGTTGCTAATTTAAAGAAATATTGCCTTTTCTTCTTCTAATAATAATAAATTTTCAGTATTGTAAACAAAATAAAATGATTGCCTAAATATATTTAAATATTGTTCATTTTCATTAAATAAAAAAAAAAAAATTTTTGGATATGGGCTTTGGCCGGGTTTGGGAAATTTTTTTGAAACTTATCATGGGCTTGGGAAATTTTTTTACTGCGGGCCTGGGCCAGGTTTGGTCAAAAAATTAAGGCCCCATGAAGGTCTCTGATTAGAAAAGCCCATCCCTAATGATTGCTAATTTTAGATAGTATCTCTACCTTTTTTAATTTTTAAAAACTTGCCCACAATTTGGAATTATCTTTTAGCAACTTTGACTATTTTTTTATATGAACTGTCATGATGCCTCGCCCTTAATATTTTAAATATTGTCACACCGACCTTGTAAAATAAAATAAAAATTTTCTTTCGTCCAAAATGTCAATTCATTTATAGAATGAGTATGACAAAGCAAAATTCAAAGTTTAAAAAAAATCTTATCAGCTATCACCAATAAGGAATCATGTTTTTAGGGGGAATTTGGCCTTTTCTAAGCCACCTAACGACGCTAGTTTTAACGCCTTTTAGACATGACAATAACTATGGGTTGAAATTTGGAGGTATGGCCCATAAATTTGGGACCTCCCCCTCATTCAAATAATCGGAATTTATGATTTTTTTTTGCATTTCTAAATAAATAATGGTTCCTTATCTAAATTGCTATATCAAGAACTTTTAAGAAAAATTAAAAATGCCTCTTATATTATGTATCCTCGAAAATTAACCATAAGATTGATAGTTATGATTTTAAATCAATCGAGTTTTTTCAAAAAAATGGAGAAGATTTCTCAATTTTTCCAAAGATAACAGGTTTTAAAATAAATTTTCAAAATTGATTTCTCGGTTTAACACGATTTTCGTTGATACAGTAAATTTAAACTTGTTAAATTAAGAGCAAATTTATATTTTTTATCTCAAAAGAATTCTTGTACTTGGTGCACAATCTATTTCTATAAAATCAAAAATCCTTCAAAATTATGAACACCAATCCTCAATATTTTCAAGTTCTAACCCCCGTGGATCAAAAAATATCTATGCCCCAGATGGTAGGGCAACAGGTATGTTTATCATATTTTTATAATCTATTAAATTATTTTTTTAAAAAATGAATAGTTTTTTTTAGTTGCCGACATTTTTTTAAAATTCTAAATAATTTTTTTTTTCAAAAAGATTACCAACATTTCTGTGCAACAAGAAACCACATCACAAACTAGATTAGACGATCAATCGGGGATCTTTGAATCAAGCAACATAGATAATTCTCATTCTCAACCCGTATACATTGAATACCCTACTCATATCGTTTTAGATAGTGGGAATGGATTCGAAACCGGCGCAGGACAGGATACCGGGTTTATGGATACTGGATACGACGAACCCGTCACGCCAGAACCGGAAATGGACCCGGAGGAGTTGGAACGGATCACTCCCGCCATATATGCTCATCCCCTTTTTCCGTTGCTCAAGTTGTTGATGGAAAAATGCGAGATTGTCACGAACGGGGAATGCGAAGAGGATGCCGCAGGAAATATCACGGATAAACCTATAAAAACGGAGTATTACAACTTGAGCCAAGGGGAGATCAGTCGTGCCCTGAGAGATTTCAAAGATTTCAAGGATTTTAAACGTATCAAGCAGAAAAAGACACGCGAAGCGAGTCACAGTGACGAAGAAAATTTTGAAGGTAAATTGATGGAATCTAAGAACGTTGAAAAAAGGGAGGCAAGCGAAATGGAATCACAAAAAGATAATCACGAGGTAAACGAAGTGGAGAAATTGGAATGGATGGATGAGGAAATTATAGCTATAACGAATGACCCTGAGCTCGATGAGATGGTATTTATTAAATATACTTTTATTAATTCTATAAAATCATTCGTTTTGAATCTTGGGGGGTTGGAAAAAAAACAATTTTTAGATTTTAAATTTTTTTTGTTTGTCCATAAAACTTGCAGATGATAAAATCCCTCCAAGTGCTTAGGATCCATCTGGTTGAACTGCAGAAAGTCGAAGAACTTTGCAAGGAGTTCAGCGCTAGGTACATCTCATGTCTCAAAATCAATATCCATTCCGAATGCATGGTGATAGCTGATTGCGATGTCATCAATGGTGATATCGCAATGAACGGCGGAAATATGATGGGATCTAATAGTGAGAGGAATATATATTTTTTAATTTCATTGTTTACTTTTGATTTGGATATGAGAAATTTTTATATATTTGGGAATTGCTTTTTTTTTCGTCAATAAATTGATTAAAAAGTCATGGAATACGTATTTAACTCATTTTTGTGACATTCTATGTTTATAATTAGGGTCTGAAACGGAAGTTAGAATCCTATGAACCGGGACAAATTTAGGAACCAAAACTTCCATTTTAAAATTTCCAAAATACCAGGACCTGTTAGGACAAAAACAAATATATTGTTCAAAAAGTTAGGAATCAGGTCCTATACTAAAGAACAAAATCATAATTTTTTGAAAATAGATTTTTATAATTTTCCAATAACAATGATTTTTTTTAACTTAAAACATTTTAGTAACCATTTCCTTAAAATATGTAATGTAAATCGCGTTACTGTCCAACCCTAATGTATACTTAATTAAGAAATCTCATAAATATTTATTCTATTCTTTATTTCATTTGATAGGCATTAAATTTAAATATTGAACAGAAAGAATTATTAAAAATATTCTAAAGAAATTAAATTGTAAATATTTCTCATCTTATTTTTTAAAATATAAATTCATTTTATAATTGTGTTATATAATCAATCAAATAAATGGGAGTATTAAGAAGAAAATATAACATTGATATTTTTCGGGACTAGACCTATAATCAATTGATGATTTTACAGACCTAACAGCAGGACTCTAGTTTGGTGCCATAAGTACCGCGACCTTTAATAAGATATTGTGAATAGGAATCAAAACTTTTTTTTTGCTTATTACCAATTTTCATTCAAATAAATATAAATGCTAATTCAATTACACGTTCAAACATTTGCGCTGTGTCTTTAGATTTTAACGCAGCCTACGCCGCTTTCAATACTTACCCTAACACCAACAACGATTTCATTCCTATAAATATAATGCCCGGAGATGCAAATCCCATGGCTGAAAGTATATGCATTTATAAACATAATATAATATTAATTATAATTACTAGGGCTCTGCCATCCATAAATTTTTCTCCGATCCAATATTTATATTGATCTTTATTTACCACCTATCTTTGAAAGAATGTCATAAAAAAAATTTTCAATTCAAAAAAAAACCAACTAAATTTCACGAATGATTAAGCGTATTTTGTTTTTTTATTTTTCATAAGTTAATCGCACATAAAATATGGGGAATGTTTATGGCTAAATGTAGCCTTGTTAAACGCCTCTATTTGACCAAATTTTTTAAAACAATATATCAAGATTTTAGCTAAAATATTACCTATACCTCGAAATTTAGCCAATAGATGCCCAAACCTTATAACCATCTGCGGGCAAACTCTAAGCTATTTTTCCTTCTTTTAAATTGGCTAAACTGGCCGTTTACCAATGCCAGCTGAACATGAACTGCTAGATATCTTAAAATCTTTTCTTGTTGCAGATAATATAACATTATTATTTTAAAATAATTCGATTTTTTAAATTGAATTTTGGTTTCTTTTATTAATTTATGTAACAAAAAATAACAATTTAATTATATATACAATAATAATAACCACCAAAATAAATATACATATCGGATCGAGTTTTTTGAAAATATTGGCCAGATCCGATATTTTTTTAAAAAAACACGATATCGCTCCGATCCGATATTTAATATCGGCACAGCCTTAATAATCACTATAATAATTATTTAATTACTGAGTATAATGTTGAGGCACAATCCCCCAAAATATTTTTATATTAATAAAATTAGTGGTGCCCATAGTACTCAACAATAACGAAGACGAGCAACAAACTTCCCTAAACAATCTATCATCTTGGTCCCCGCAGCAGCATAACACCTCATCCGAAGAGGACAATACCGATTATCTTGACTCACTCGAGATACAAAAGCCTTTTGAATCACCGGTAAAATCTGCCTCATTGAAAAGTTCCAAAAATCGTATAAAGAGCAGCGTGTCAAATGCTTCGGCAGATTTAGAAGGGTTCTCCAAAGAGAATACTGAAGTTATAAGGGGAGAAATGGACGACGGAGTGGATAAGCTGACGACCACGGAGGATATCGAAGAAACTAAGGAGGATATGTCAGCTCTAAAAGAACAAATTCAAAATCAGCAAATTTCTACATCAATGATAACGACTGGTACTATACCAAGCGGGTTGCAACAATCTCAACCGATGCAACAAATACCATCTAATTCGGTATTTATTTATTTTTTCAGCGTAATCATTTAATATTTAATAATCTCCCCACCCTTTCGATAGATATTTATACAGCCCCAACAAGCTAATATGCCTTTCGCCTTACCTACTCAGATGCAGACGATATATCAAATGGTTCAGACCCCTAACGGAATTATAGCTCAACCTATTCAGGTATTTTGTTTACTATATATTTATCTATATCTTTTTTTAAATCTTGCTACACCGAAATTTAGTTAATTAAAAACAAAAAAATTTTGAAAGACAAAATAAAATATTAAAGTGTTTAAGAAATATCTTATCAAAACCTCCATCTTTAAAAAGCAGAGACCTCTGTACATGGACCATTTGCACGGCCCGACCCAGATTTTTTTACAAAAAAAAGCTTTGACCTAGCCCCGACTTTTTTTTATTAAAAATTTCATCCTGGCCCGGATTTTTTTTACGATCTAAAATATTCGGTTTTAAAATATACCGCCCGACCCGGGTTATTTTTTAAAAAAATTTTAGACTCGGCCTGGGCATTAAAAAAAACAAATTTTTAGACTCGGCCCGGTATTTAAATTAAAATCTGACCCAGGTAACCGGATCTGCAGATCTCTAATAAAAAGTTCGAAATTCTATTCTTTTATATAATAAATTATGATTACCTAAGAAAATAATTTCCCGTTCAGTGTTTTTTCTAGACTGGAAGCTGATTTAGCAAAGAGGCTAGGGCAAGGATTGCTAGACAAACATGGTGGCGGATTAGTTTAAAAAGGGAGTGTTTAATAAATTTTAGCATTGTTGTGTAAGTTGCACTTCCTTTAATTGCCACATTATTACAATAAAAAATATTGAAGTATAATTTTTAAATATAGTCTCAATTATTTTAAATGTTAACCCGACTATAACCTTCATCATTCATCTTAACGAATATACGCATCAAATATCTTCATTACTTGATCCTTTTTATATGTATCAAATTTAGATTCAAACCGCGCCTCAGATCATAATGGCTACGGGCCTTCCCGGAAATCCTCTTTCTTTTCTCCCTAACGCTTCTAATACAAATCAATCGGGTCAACAACCATTCATGATTTCCCCTTCCATAAATAGTCAATTGATAAATCAAAACTCGAGCTTCAAATCGTCTCCAAATACCCCGCTAATTATGGGTCAGGTTCAAAGTAGTTCACCAGGGCAAGGACTTATGCCTCCTATGGTTCAAATACAATTGGGTAAAAAGAATTAAATTTCATTATCATAGAAAATGATTAGCATATTATAGTAATTGATGTAATATGCTTGGAGAATGGTATAGGAATGTGCCAGGTTTAGGGGAAGATATGATACAAAAAACCCTGATTAAGAACCAAATGGGAGGGTTGTTGAGCATTCCTAAGTAGACTATTATAAATATATAGGAAAAATAGAATGGAATTGAAATAACATATTTAAAATTTTTTAATCTATAATATGGTTTTTATATCTTGTTTTTCATAATAAAGCTGGTCAACAAAACCCTAGTTACGGATTTATATCTAATAACCAAGTAACCTCCAATGGACAGGGCTTGATTCAAACCAATAATGGCTTTTTCAATTTCACCCCCAATAAGAACAGTAAAATTGCCTTATATATAATTTTTAAATTAAATTTTATTTTTATTTATAATATAACAAGTTATGCTGGTAATCATGGCAAGGTGTTATATGCAAATATAATGTTAATTTAATCAGGGTGACATTGTCAAAATTCAATTATTTTTTGACTTACAAACTACCTTTCAACCAATTTATAAATAGTTTTCTTATTTTTAAATAATTATGATAATTAATTGTATAAATGAAAGAAGGAGTCTTTATTGAAATACACTATAACTTCGGCGATATTTTAAAAAGGATGATTTTTCTTTTTTGAATGCCATTAAGGCTATATGACCGTTCAGTTCTTAATTTATAATCAACTATTATTGAAAAACGATTTCTAATATTATGAAAATTTATGATAGCATGTTTTAAAAAATGGCCATTCATTTAAATGCGTATAAATCAGTTGATGACGCCATTTTGGTTTTCATATGAAAATATCCTTATATTTTAAAAAATTTTATGAATATTTAACTAAAAAATTCAAAGATTTTCATTTGTAAAATCTTGGGAAAATAAAATGGGTTTATCAGTTGATTATTTTAATAAATGAATCTACAATGTGGGTAAGTATTATTATATGTCATAGCTTCTACCTTAGTGACATCCGAAAGAAGAAGAAAAATTAATCTTTTCTAAATTTGCAAAATTTTTTTAATATTAGACACTTTCTACGACAATTCTCAAAACTTAAGCCAAAATAGTTCTACTCCCACGGGTAAGGACTCCTTCGATGACAAGGATGATAACTTTTTCCCCGGCAGTGGGAAAAGGGGCGTATTACCAAAACAAGCCACCGATGTTATGAGAAGTTGGCTGTTTCAACATCTCATGGTAAAATATAAAATTTACTATGGGATAGAAAAGAAATATTTTAAGGAAAATTGAGTTTTTTAAAAAAAAATGTAGATTAGAATTTAGTTTTTAAATTTATTCATCTGAAATTGGTATTAAAAGAAAAAATTAAGCTATCAGTTTTTAGCCGATTTTTATAAGGATTAAACCTGAGAATTCGATTAAAAACGAAATTGCCGTTTGACATGATTCAATATCAATTCTCCTCTTTGCTTGTATATTAATAATGCTAATAATTTCTGTAATAAAAACATTTTATTATACCTAACTTAATTATATTTTGCATAATGTATATTAAATTTTAATTATTATAAATGATTTTATATATTATGATAATCCTGAAACTATTTTTTAAAATTATTTTAATATTGTTAAAATTAAAGGAGACTATATTTATTTCTGCTCCGTTTAATAAATATTTTGTTGACATTAAACTAATTCACGTTTAAAATATAATTATAAATTATATTTAGAATAATTAGCATAAATGGACAAATAATAAAAATTGGTAAAATTATGATAAAATACTTTTTAGTCTTATTCAATATTGCGAATTTGTAATTTAATAATGGGTATTAAATTTTATAGAAAATATAATAAAATGGACGGGAACATATATTTTTTAGAATTATTTTTATTTTGTTATAAAAATTTGATTTAAACTAAAAAAAATTGTGATTTAATCAAATTAGTTAATTTTTATCAAAAATTATGATTCTTTCCAACCCTAATTTCACCGCCAGTCTGAATTAAATATTTTATCTGAGTCTTTTCAGAAAAATAAAATTGGCTAATTTAAGTTTTAATTGTTTTTGCTTAGCAAGATATATTTGATTGATAAACTTATTAGACTTAAATCATAAAATGTAATATTTTAAGCATCCATATCCTTCTGAAGATGAAAAGAAGATTATAATGAATCAAACTAATCTTAGTCTTATTCAAGTCAATAATTGGTAAATTTTTTTAAAATTCTAAACAATATTTACATAAATGTAATAAATACTTAATCTGCCAAATTAATAAAATATAAGATCCTTGAAAAATAAAATAGATAGATATGATTTAAAATATATTTATTATAATGCGTATATAATACTTTAAAACCAATTAAGGTTTATAAACGCTAGACGTCGTATTCTTCAACCTATGTTAGATTGTGGCAAGAATTCTGATATCATTGGTAATTTAATTTCTTATTTATATTACAAGCGCAATTAATTTGTATATTATTGATTTTTTAGTCAAATTGTGTCATCTTTTAAAACATTGTCCTTCAATTAGTTAGATTTACAAATGGCATACTTTTCTAAAAAAGTCACTAATTTTGAAAAAGAACACTATATGATTAATATATTTTTTATAATAAGGGGCTTTCTACCTTCTCCACATTTTATACTATTAGGATAATATTTAAATATAACCTATAAGATATCTATCACGTTATTTGCTCTTTTTTAAAACGTATAAAAAAAATTTCCAACAAACCCTGTTTCCTCTTTTAAAACAGGTCTCCCAAGTCCAACATCCAAACCCAAAAAATACAAGAGCAGTTATGGAAACAGGTCCTGCACCCAAAAATTTTGGCCTAGCAGTTTAGCCAATCCCGTTTTCATACCCAGGAAACAAAACGTGTTTTTGAGCTCTCAATTATCATACAACAACGAACTCATGAACGCTGCTAGCGGTCTTTTCGTTTCCACTCACAATATCAGTAATTTAATATAAATGAGACATTATTGGCATTTTTAAATGTTTAATGTTATATTTATTATGGTCGCAAAAGATGACTTAAATTTAAAAATACCTATTAAATTAATTAGAAAAAGATATTATTTGATAGACGAATTAGATATCTGCAATTTTAGGTCACGAGCCTTTTTAATTTTTTTTAAACTTGTCTGCTCCCTCCAATGATTTTTAAAATAAAATTCCCTCTTCAACTCGTTTGTTTAAAAATGTTGGTATATCTGAAAATTATTTATAAAATGCTATATTGAAATAAGAATTTTTAATAAAAATAAGCTGGCTCAGTATTTAAAAAAATACATTTACCTGATGGTTGTTTAGATATTTTTTGGCCCGCCCGCTATAAACTTGTGCTCTTTTCAGATCTCCAAGAATATTATTTTATTTAAATTTTAGATATATAAATAATTTTAAAAATAATTTATAATCTTTTGAGTGATAAATTTTATTCGACTGTCAATTTTTTTTATATGGATGTAAATCATTAACCATAATTTAGAAGTGACAAAATAAAACTATTTAATTATAGATCATCTGAAAATAATTAAGACAACCATTATTTAAATTTTATAGAACATTAAATACTTTCAGACGTAATTAAGTTTAAGGTTCAAATCTTTAATAAATAACTGAAATTAGGACGTGACAGAATTTATGAAAGTTTCAAGATTTTTCTTATGATATTTCTCGAGTTGATCAAATTGTAAACCTATCTCTCCTAAATTATTCATAGAGGCCTAATATAACTATTTTTTTAAAAAACTCTTTGAAAATTTAAAATGTTAACCTTGGAATTATGTAACAAATTATTATTTCAAAATTTGTTAATAAAATCATTTCGATTTCAACAAAAATTTGCTTTAATGAAAACAATAAGTTGATGCAATATGAATTTGGATTTAAAATTGAGATCCAGAATAGTCAACGGGGATTCTGGATGAGTCATTATTCCAAATAATCAATAATAATATTTATAAAATAGAGAGGATTAAGTTGAAATGTTTGTTACCTTAAATTCAATAACCTTTATTTCTATAATAAAATACCTTTTATAAAAAATTATGCATTAATTTCCACACAGCCACCATTAATAATAGTTCAACTTCTACTGTATCGATATCCACGGAAACTGTCGAAGATCAATCAAATATCAATAAAAATTCGCAGACCTTAAATACTATATGACATCTAAATGTAAATTATATAAACAACCAATTTGAAACTTATAGAGTAAAACAATCCCAATATTCAATTAGCTATTCCTTTATATATATATTAAAAAATTATATAAATCCTTATAGTTCGATAAAAAAAATTTTAAAATCTCGAATACATTCTATGTTTTAAATCAATTTTTACAAAATTTGTATAAAAAAATGTCGTTTTATGTAATATATTTACCAATCCTATTTTTCAATATAAATTATTTTAACTTTTTTCTCTCTATATTATTATAATTATTTTAAAATAACCATTCGATTTTTTACAAATCAAAATAAAGAACATAATACTTATCTTATTATTATATACCAAAACTTATGGGGAGAAGCTTCAAGTTTAAAATATCGACAAAAAAAATTTTGATTTCATTTTGAAAGATTTTGGCATTTTTAGGTAAATTTTGGTCAAAAAATTATATTCTTCAAAAAATAATAGATTTTTAATTTTTTTAAGTTAAACTCTATATAATCAAAGTGTAAATGAAAGATTTTCTAAATCTACTAAAATAATTATTAATAGATTGAAATTTATCGAGTTATTTTGATATATTTTAATGGATTATTAATAGAAGCGGTGTTTGGGTGGGACTGGATCACTCGAATGGGGAGTATTTGTACCAGTAACCAACGAATAGGATTATGCGATTATAGCATTATAGGGGAGGAATGTGGGAAAATCACATGAGAAAAATGGAATTTTTAAGGGTAATCGAGGGAGAAGGAAGGGATATATTACATTCCAATAGTTCAATGAAATTAGCTGCGAATCTTATCGTCGAATTTGTGAATTAATATTTTTTGAGCAAATTGGTGGCTAAATTTGGTGAAGCATCTTGGGCTAGGAAATTTATATTAATTCCTAGTTTGGCGAAAAAATTCGTAGCTAATTTCATTGATTGAAGTCAGGGTATTTATTATAAATTAAAAATGTCCAAATTATCAAATAAACCAGCCAGATGTTTTCTGAAAACTTAAAGTTTAAAAAGTCGTCAATTTGTTGACCTCTTAAATTTTTGAAATTTAACAAAGGGGGATTGTAGAATTTAATTTTAACTACAACCTAGAACATTCGGAACACTTTAAATATTAGAACCGTATAAATTTTTTAACCGAAACTATCTATTAATAATTCATAACCTTTATTAAAACTCTAAATCTGATACTTAATATGCCCCCAACCTAAAATTTAAATAACTCAATTCATTAAAAAAAATCTTTTTAATTTATTTTAAATCTAGCTTTAATTTTCGACCCTTTTAGGTACCTTAACATTACTATAATGTGACAGTTATCAACTTTATCAAAAAATTAGAAAATGTATTTTAAACGACATGATGTAAGGAATAATTTTTTTTTGTACACAATTCGTTATAATTTATTTACAATGTTTACAGGTAGCGAATTGGCACGATTTTTTTGCCATAACGAACACGCGACGCTCATTAATTTACTATTACTATATAACTTATACTCGACGTAATTAATCGTCTACTTTTTCAATAATTTAAGGAGATTTAAAATTGTATCAGACTTTTTTGGATAATGGATTGGGATCTGATTATAAATATCATTGTTACACTATAACAAAGATTCTAAATCATTTTTTTGAAGGGTTGAATTGAAATTAAATAGAGTTTAATTATTCTCTTAAAGTAATGTTTACGGAGTTTGAATATTTCATTCAGAATCGGTTGTATCCGAATCAGAAATTAGTTTATTAACAGAATTAATTGATCGTTTCCTTCGTTTTGATGATTCGAGATTTGCATGCTTAGACGCTGAGTCCGATGTAATGATGTGATTATAGTTACCTATGCTATTGATCAAGGGTACGGTACGTTTAATGCCAATGACAACATTTTTGGGATCAGGTGGTTTTGTACGTTCACCACTTTTAAAACTTTTGTATCGCTTTTGAGCATCGCGAGATGCGTAATTTTGCTGATTTTCTTCCTCGTCGCCCGTAGATGAATGTGACGATTCCGAACTCGTAAAGTTCTTACTTTCTTCGTTCGAACTATCGTTATCACCGACGATTTGTTGATTGATCAGAGACTTTCGTTTCCTTCTTTGGTTGTCATTGGTGTGGGAATGAGAAATCGTATATGGAGGTTCTTGGGGTTCGCTGATGAGCGTAAAAAGTTGTTTATAACGCGACTTCAAGGAGTCAGGGCACACTGCTTTTACTTCTTGTAGGGCTAATTTAAGGAGATCGTGCCGGAATAGGTAGGGTACGTTTTCCTTGTCGCTATTATCCTTATTAATAGGTGTAAGCTTGTTAACAAGCGTGTGGAAGTTTGGATTGGAGGAAGGCATCGTGAGATTCGTGGTGATTCTAAGTGCTTCTAAGGTAGACAACAAACTTTCGAGAGAAGGGGAAAAGGATAAATCTTTGTTGCCACCAGAATCTAAATAACCGTTTATGTTACTATTTTGGGAGCGACGAGTCATATTTCCGCTTTTAATTGAGTCGGGGCTAAAACCACTGGATTCCATTTGGTAAGGATTGTTTTGTTGATTCAGTCGTTTTGAAGAGTAATAAGGAACCGAAACTGCGGTAGGAGAGTTACCTTTGAGTCTGGCTCTAGGGTCTGTGTGACGATTGAGTAAGGTAGCAAGAGCTTCGGCGAGTTTTTCTCGGCTGGCTTCCTTTCCAGACCACATCTTGAACAAAATTGTTATGAGGGTAGGTCGATTAGAAAAATGGCTAGTATAACCATCACGACTACGCCCACTTCTATGGGTGGAAGGCATTGTAATTGGGCGTTTAAGTAAGGCTTTAATGATTTCAAGTGATGGTGGAGTACTGCGTTCTTGTTCTATTGCCTCACTTTCGTTATAAGTGGATGGAAACGAGAATAGTTGCAATAGGCGTCTAGTCACCCCAGAGTCGCGCTCTAACGGAAGTTCTAACAATCTATGAGTTAAGATGAAATTCACGAATGAACGATTTATTTTAGCTTTATCGGGTGAATTAAAATGCAGCACCAGACAGTCCCAAAGAGCTCGACTTTGGTAAACTTCCCACCGCTTACTAATGGTACTGCAGCGAATTAGGTGGGCTAGACAGATATCATCAGATGCAGATAGGAAAAATGATATCAAGCGTAAGTCAATGTATTCATTGAGAAGGGTTGTCTCTTTAATGTGAAATAATGAGCAAGGGGTAGAACATAGGAAATCTAGGTATGTTGGGTCAAATTTGTGGTTGTCACAGAAATCGTTATCATTTTGTGATTTATCATCAAAGTTTGAACTAAAAGAAGAATTAAGAAACTTTTCTTCAGAAGGTCTGTCCCGGGCAAGACAAGCGACAGTTAACTTTTCTAGGCTTGAACCATCTATGCAAGACAAAATATCTTTGAACAAAGCGAACTCATTATTCATTTTCTCTGATTGGCTTTCTCCTTCTTCGTCTGTACTTTCATCGCTCATCTGCATTTCCATACTCCCCTTTCTATCTTTCTTACCTTTTTTCTCATCCGTATCTTTATCGGTATCCGAGTCTGAATTTATGTCAGAAATATCTTCCTCACTTTCATCGAAATTTTCATTAAAATCGTTGTCGATATCGTTTCTTTTATTAGAGGATGAAAATGTCGAGCCATATAGATTAGATGGCATAACATGGGCACAAGTGGCGACTATAAATTTGAAGCGGAGAGGATCCATCTCGGCGCATGTAGTTAGATCACTTTTAAGTGTTGTAATAAAAGCATCCCTTGAGACTGTAGCTTTAACAAAACCTGAGTACACCCTCAAAAATTTCCCTAAAGATGGTGTACTAACTTGACCGGCCCCAGATTTACTGTTAAGATCATCTCGAAAACGTTTAGTAAAGAGAACCAAAAGTGCGTACAAAGTCCAATAGCCGAACCTTTTAATCTGAGAACGATTTATAATAGCGAAAAGTCGATGCAAAATTTGTAGGTTATCAGAATTGGAATGCGAAAAGGGAGTGTTAGAGTTTGTTAAAATGGAGCATGATGTTAAGGCTTGAACTAAGGTAATCATAGGAAGAGCTATAAAAAAGGGTTTGCAGGATGTGGAAAAAAAGAAGCAAATAGAAGATATAAAAGTAATTACTTAAATTATTTTAAAATGCCCCAAATAAATGAGAAATAATATAAAATACCTTTCTTATTACATATTATTTCAAATTGCAAATAATTTTAACTGATGATAATAAAATATTAAATGACTCATTACCACCACCCCCACCCCCCCCCCCCCCCCTTCTCCTCCTCCCCCTTCAGTTTAATAATTATACAAAAATCCAAAATAACAAACCTCCGATTTCATTTCCAAATATCGTATCTTCGAAATGTGAATTCTGTTCCTTCTCGCGCACGACATGTAATCCCTTAGATGTCACGACTTTTTTAAAATAATGTATAAGGAAAATTCAAGGATTTGAAAAACTTATTCGTGGTCTAAATTGTTTCCTAGTTACATCCATAAGGGTGTAAGGGTTAATAATTTTTTAAAAAAATATATAATCATGGCCAAAAACACTGGAGCAAAATAATTTTCGATGCCGCATAAACTATATAGATGAATTAAAAAATAATTTTTTTGTAATGCAAAAAGGTCTCAAAATTTTAAATTTCAAAAAACAAGCCAAAAAAAATTTTGAGCTTATAAAAAATTAAATTTATATTGGAGAATCTTCTGATTATTCAAAAATAGGAATTTACATTCTGTTAATAAAATCTAAAGAAAATAAAAAATTTACTAGACTCCAAGGAAAGTAAAAATAATTCTAAACCTAAAAATCAACACTAAGTCAGTAATTATTTTTTTTTAAAAAATTTTTAAAAAACGAGCTAATATTTTTTGAATAATTGAATAAAAAAATTCATTTCAAAATATAACTTTAAAATTTAAAAAAACAAAACAAATGGCGCATTTTTTAAAATGATTTTTATAAATGTAATTAGCTAAGGTTGAAGATTGAGAATAAATGAATACCCTAAAAAAAAAATATATAGCAATAAAAATGATAATTTTTTTTTACTCTTCCGCTTCTTGTTCAGTTTCCCGCCAATTTCATCGTCATATTCTTCGTCGTAAATATCCTCTTCGCCCCTCTCCAGGCATTCATGCTGATCGGGTGGGTTTTTACGACAAAAACTTTCGTATTTCAGGGAAAACCTTAAGTAGGGTCTCAGGATGATGGCCAAACATCGACCGCATCCATCAAGAGTGCTCTCTGATAGGGGTTTGGATTTATTGGTTATGAGGAGGTCTAGAAGTCTTTTAATTTGGTCGCATTGTTCCAAAACAAATTGTCGAAATTTTGGATTGCGGGAAGGTGCCGAATAATTAAAATTTTCTTTTTCCAAAAAAATAAGATTTCGATCTTGAGCCATTTTGAGAGATTTTAGTATGCTTTAAAAAAACGGGTTTTGAATAAAATATTGTAAATAATTCATTACCATAAAGGAAATAAAATAATAATTTTTTCTTTTTAGCTTTCACCTTTTGTTAACAATATAAAAAACAAGGTATTAGTATAAATTATAACTTTTGACGAGGGATTCGAACTGCAACGAATATCGGTTCGGTTCAGACCGGTTCGGTTCGTAAAAATAAATATGGTTTTAATCATTAAAAATGGGTAGGAACTTTTTCTTATACACCAAGAATAGAAATATATATGTGTATATATATATAATACACGTTTTCTAAAATTTTACCACTAAAATCCATATTAAAAGCAACTATCGTATATCTCATTTTTAATGCAAATATACCTAATTTATAAATTATATGCCTAAAAAAAGAAATACAATAAAGTCGCACAATCAAAATATTTTCAAGATTCTTCCTAAGTTTAATCATATCTATAAAGGAAGAAATAATAAATTTCGTGGTTGTGAGAACATTTATACTAGCTCTTGGATGGCTCGCGTCGTCAAATAGCAATACAAAAAAACTATCAAAAAATGGTGACTGATATTTATCAATATAAAATAGATAATATTTTAAAAACAGTTAAAATATCAAAAATTTTCAACCCAATTCGAGGTTCGATTTAGGTGCGGATGACAAATTAAAGGTTCGAGTTCAGTAAACAATAACGATTAATACTAGTTTAGTCTGGATCGCCACTTTTGATAGGTAAATGAATTAAATTAGGTTAATTAATTTAGTAAATGTGAAAACAATTCTTTATGAGATAGTGCAAGTGGACCAGGTTTCCTTCTAGAGCCTGACTTAAACATAATCAAAATCAAAAAAAATTTTACTCCTTAATTTCGCAATCCAGGGCGCTGAGATGTCTATCAAATAATCGTTTACTCCTGTTCAAGCTAGCCTTAAGTCTATCAATCTCCGATGAGTCCCTAAAACTATTGACAAATGAGTCATGCTTAATTTTGCGGCCAGAGCCCTTCTTGAACACTTCTAAAACCTCGATATCATTACTATCGACATCTGAGTTGACATTCGAAACTACGCGTTTATCGCTTTTCAATTGTTTATCATCCGACCATTCTTTCCCACGTTTAATCTTTTTCTTGACACTTGTTACAGATTTTTCAAGATTCTCTTTTTGCGCATCTTCCCCGTCCGAAAACTCCAATTGTGACAAAGCTCCGGTACTTGATTCGTCAGTCAAATCGCCATTTTCTAGGACTGGAAGTCGCTCGGAAATAATTGCTAATGGAATAGGTGAGTCCGGCAATGATTTGGGGGGAGTCGGAGGTGAAAAGTAAGAATTTTCAATTTTTTCGGATGTAGCAGTCAACAAAGTTTCCTTGAATTTAAAATAATAAAAATGACAATACATTGTCTTTTAAGTAAAATTAAAATTTATTTGAGAGGGAGTTTAGGATAAAACATTTTTCTAAAAAATATGCTTCTTTTGATCCTCTAGCATTCTTTCATAATAGCATGTAGAATGCATATCTCACCTCTTTAATTAAAATTGGGGAAGAAAATATCGAAAACAAATCAAACTTACCTCATTGATAATAGTGGGATTAATATTTAAAGGGCTCTCGATGGTGTCCCTAATACCGAAAGTTTCTTTTATGAGGTATCCTAAATCTTTGTCTAAATGTTCGAACTTGAGGATAGGATCTAGAGAAGGTATGACCTAAGAATATTATTTTAACGAAGAAAATATTATTAAATATGTGCCTTTTTTGAAATAAATTTGAACAGTAAAAATGGTTTTACAATATTACATAATATTTAGTATTTAATATAGCTAATTAATTTACAAAAATACTTCCCATGATTTTAAAAAAATTAAAAATAATCAATTAGATCCCCTTTCTAAATCAATAATTTAATCAAGCTTTAGTCTTCTTATATACATTAGCATCCATTCTGATTCCCTAGAGAAAACAGAAGTCGAACTTGGCACCCCGGGCGTTTTTGTCATACATAGTGTACAAGTAGTGCACCAAAAAATAAACCCATATAATTAATCTGACTCACCCTCTTATCCAATATATCCCTAAGGCATTTCCTGACTCCTTCCCTGTAAAATTCTTCCAGCTCGGGCCACCCTACCCCGACTTCTCTGGTCATAGTACACAAAAATTCTAGCAAGCTCTGGGCCATAGCCGGGTGAGATTTGAGCCCGTGGTAGATGACGAGTATACCGGGTTCAACGTTCATGATGCTGTCACGTTTGGGATCGTAGCCCCACCAGTCGCAAAACAGGGCCATCTTACATTGGCATAGGGTTACGGAATTGTATGATGATGCGCCGGGCGAGCTTATTTAGATAGAATTGTGTTTAAAAAAGACTCAATGAACCTTCCATTTTCATTAATTATAAAAATAGCCAAAATAAAAACATATTTTAATAAAAAAAATTGTGCCGGGTTACAAAACATTTTAAAAAATAAAATAAAAAATCCATATCATTTTAAAATAAGATTTAGATATATATAAGCATATTATAATATTTTAAGGTTTACTAGCTATTGTATCCCCCTCCCATAGCAGAATTACCGTCCTGTTGAGCGATATTAGCCGAAGCAGACGATAACAACATCCAGCCAATCAGTGACCACCGTGGTGTAACGTCACTGGCCAGCACTTCATTAGGCGGGTGAATAACAGAGCAAACGAATCGAATCGCGTCGACAAGGCAAGTGCCTGTCAAATATATAGATAATTAATTATTTAATGGTTCTCTGTTTTTTTTTCTATAAAATTAAACTGTATAAAAAACAATATATTACCGCGCATGCGAGCTATGTGGCTTCGGGCCAACCAATCCTGATAACGCTTGAGAGGCGCACAAACACCAGTTGCATTAGGATAACCCGCCGAATTTAAATTATAACTCGAAGAAAATCTGACTTTATGAGTCAAAAAGGCGAGTTTAGATTCTAGTTCGGGCGTCACGCGTGATGCTGGGTATTTCCGGGGAGTTCGTGTTGATGCTAAGCGTTTGATTATGTCTTTTGTCCATTTTTTAATTAGAAATCGTAAATTATAATAAATAGTTACGCCGTTGGAATAATTTAATTTTTTTAGTTGGTTATTTATAATAATAAAATCAAAATTCTAAAAATGGTAGTGTAGGTTTAAAAGAATCAAATTAGATAATATAGGCTTTAAAGATGGTCCTAATAAGAATTTTGAAGCAATGAATTAGTAATAAGAGTGAATTTTTCTTTAGCGTGGTTTAGGGATCTGCAAAACGCAACCGGAACTAACAGCCGATCCGTGGGTTGAGTTATTTTAATCTATAAGCCCGGTCGTTTCTGTCGGTAAATTTTTTTTCAGGTGGATCGGTCTAATTTTAAATTTAATCAGCTGATATCAATAAGTCATGTTTTGATTGTATATAGTTTTTTAACATTTTTATATTATTTCTTATAACACATTTTGATTTTTGGGTAGGGAATTTGGAATTAATTATATGTTCAGGTAGGGAGAAAAATTGTCACTTGCGGTGTCTAGTGTGAAAATGCAGAGTGCAAGTTTATGTTTCTAGCAAGTATATAGTGACAGTGACATCGGGGGGCTCGTTAATTTAGTATCTTAGAGGTGGTGAAAAAAAAAGATTTGCTTATTGGCAAATTGTTTGTATGGCGTCTGTTAATATCTCAGGAAAATGTGTTATTCCACAGTTAATATTACATGTTGGATCCATAGCTGAAGGCTAAACGGGATATACGAGAGTTTTCGCCTTGAAGTATTTAAGGATTTAGTGATATGATGGAATGAATTGCGTATAACTTATATAACGATGTCTAAAAAAAGTCGATCCTCAATAAATCTGTTTATGCAAGGAAAGAGATAGAGTACTTGTATAATGAAGATATCTGATCGGGACATTATAAATAAAAACGTTAAAAAAATCCCTAAGGAAAAGTGTGTATCGGAACATTATTTAGGGAAAGTATGCCAAGCATAAAGATTAAAGTGGAAGATCAAGAATCCGAAAATTTAAGGCTACTTAGATTGGGTGGGGAATTTATATCGCTTAAGGTAATTTAAGCGTAGAGATAGAGATGATAACCCTACATTGGAGATGAAGGCTAGATATGTGGGAGAAATTTCGGGATCCGGCATACCTTGTACACGAAAAGATGAGCCCGGATTTTAAAGGAAGTAAAGGGTTTTATGGTATGCACATGAGTGATTACTGATAAAAAGCTGTAAAGAGAAATGGAAGGGGGTAAAAGAGAAGATTAGTTGAATTTGGTGAGTAGACACAAGCGTGTGACGAATTGAGAAAATGGATCGGTGAGGAGTAGAAGGATGAAATGGTTCGAAGGCTAAACAAAAGGCTGGGGAGTAAAAACCGCGAATGGGCAACAAATCGCCCCCCCCCTTATAAGAATCTAAAAAAGCAGACGTGAATTCCGGTGATCGCGAGAATGAAGAGAAAATAGATTTTTTTTACCCTAGGGGAACCCGGATTAGTGAAAGACGAATGAAAAGATATTTTAAAGTGTTGGGTAACCCACCAGCAAACCCGATGAGTAAATGGAATCATAATTTAATAGAATTAGTGTTTTCTTGAAATTCATGTAATTTTAAAAAAATAAAAAGAACATATCATTCAAGTTTGTCCAATCCTCCAAATGTTACGTAAAATCAGAAGAATTTGAATAAAAATTAAAATCCTCTTTTAAAATTTTATAGCAACCAAAAATCGGGTGACCATTTTAAAACCGATTTCGAAACCAAAAAAATGGAGGCAATTTATTTACTTTTATTTTTAAAATGTTGTTGTATAAATTATTTATCTCAAAATATTTCGCTTTAACAGAGTTTAAAACCGGAAGTAGAAGCGAAGAACTAAACTGACAATTTTTTAAAATAATCAGAACAGTAAAGCATCCTACCACAGGTGGTACCAAACTCTGCGGCAAAAAATTTATTATTTAAAAATGCTAACTCGGTGTGTTCGGGGTTAGAAGCTGAGGTTTGTAAAGGATATCTTGCCAAAGCAAATCGAATTCGTGTATGCGAGCCACGCTTTGGAGTAGCCTAATCAGATCGCGTCCAATTACCATGCAATCGGTAAACTTTAAGAAAAAAGAATAAGTATAAAAATATGATTTACTTAGGATTAGCTATGTAACGTCACGCGAATTATTACATAAAGAGTCCTACAACCGGGGCAGGTTTAAAACACTTTTCTCCCTCGATTTTTGTTTTTTTTTAAAAAATACCCCTTGGATGATCTTTTCCATCACACAAAGTTCGAATTCTCACAATTTTAAGAGCCGGAATAATTTTCGAAAATATATGTCATTTTAAAAAAAAATTTATCATTCGATTTGATTAAATTTTTACGTGACTGCGCAGAATCTTGATGCAAAAGTCGATTTCTTTTTGTTTCAGGGCAATGTAAGTGGGAGCTAAATGATCTTCGATCAATCGAAGATACGTGTAAAGTACGTAAGGCACTAAGTGGGCGTTCTTGAAAAGCCAATCTTCGCAATCCCTCAATAAATCTATAAAAAAAATGTGATAAGAAAATATGGTTAACAAAAATACGGTTCTTTTATATATTCCATTCATTCATTTATTTTCTTTCTTTCTCTCTCTCTCTCTCTCTCTCTCCTTCCTTCCTTCCTTCCTTCCTTCTTTCTTTTAATTCCATATCATTCTAACGTTGATGTGGAAGATAAAACAAAAGCGAACCTAAAACGGTATCGACGAGCCAAACATTTTTGGGGTTCAAATCACCCGTCCCCATCTGTCTCACCAGGTAAAAGAAGACGGAATCAATACCTATGACCGAATTTCTAACGCATTCATGAGTTAGCCATAAGATTTGTTTCTTACCCAGGTCACTCAGCTTTGTCCATTTTTCGCAAATTATCTGAAATATTTTTTTTTTTTAAAAAAATTCATATCAAATTGTATAATCGTTACAAAGTTCCCAAATCGAGCTGGTCTTAAATTAGCAGATAAATGGCAGTTTAATAGTGAGTACAAATTGCGCGTTTGCGTTGTGCAGTATCTTTTTTTTAACCCTTCAATAATCCGGCGAAAAAAAATGAAGTAAGAGTTCTGAGAAAATGGCAATATAGATTCTAAGATATATTTAATAAAGCTACCGAAAATTCCATATCATAATAATCAACTGATTTTATGTGATATGAATTCTAGAATACCTGTGGTCCTATAGACCCCACCGGAGTATTGAAAGGTTAAAAAACGCACCACATCCCCATTGAGACGAGATTTTATATAAATAAAAAATGTTAGCGTTAAATTATAAAAAAAAAGTATTTATGGCAAATTATTTTGCGTCACCAAACGATAATTTAACAAATTTCCCTAATACCATTTGGATGGCATTATTCACGTTTGTACCCAGCGTTTGAAACGCTCAATTTGTGTACCTATTATAGCGCCAAACGATAATTTAACTAATTTGCATACCATTTTGATGGCATTATTCACGATTGTACCGCATCGTTTGAAATGCTCAATTTGTGCGCACTATAAATATATTTGTTTTTCTAACAAGGAAAATCATCTTGGCCACACAAAAAAAACTATTTTTAAAAAAATATTTGGTTATTATTTGTATACTTTGTAAAAAAAGGGGGGGGGGGGGTAGAAATTAAACTTAAACATAATGCGAATAGAGAATGAGATCGCGTTTATAGCTATTTAGTAAGCGAGCGCGATATCGCGAAAATAGATAGCGATAATCGCGTTAACTATAATTGCGATCTAAGGTGATAATATTGGGAAGCTATTTTGAACCTTTTAAAATGCTTCGTAGTAAACATGTTTGCACGATTTATGGTAAAGATCTATGTTTTGGTTGGTTATTTTTTTTAAAAAAAATATATTCTAACAAAAGATATGGCCTTGGTTTTAAATAATAATAGCGCCCGACATTTTAAACGATCAAAATAATTTTTTAAAATTAAAATCATGTGGTCTCCTTTGTCTAGCATAAAATCCCGTGATTTTTTTCTTTAGACAGAAGAAGATTAGCATAAAATCAAGTGACCACTTCCTTTAGACCCAAGATGCCAATGAATATCATTTTTAAGTAAAAATCAAAATTTTACCCTTTTTTTAAAAAATATCAATTTATTTTTCTCGATATTTATTTGTTTAGCTAGATTACTTTTTTTTAAAAAAATAAATAATTATATGTTTTTGATTATTATTTAGTGCATAGGTAGTCAAAAAATAAACATTTAATTAGGTTGTTACCTTTATCATTTTTAATATTGTATAAAAATGATGCACATAAATATTTTATATGCTGTTGTGAGGTTACAGATAGTGAAAACATAGTCTGCCAAATATCTGATTGGTTCTTTCTTCTTTTTTCGCGGGATAAGATAATTTGTATATGTTTTTTTTTTACAAAACTGAGATATAATTTTTTTAAAATCCAATTATTACTTATCACCAATAAAATCAAGCAGGGGTCAAGTTGACCCTCCCCCCTGTTTAATCTGACATGACCTAATAATGTATATATATTTTAAAATTTTATCGATTAAGGAATAGCTTGATGGATTAATTAATCCCTCAATTTGTTTTCTTGATATTTTCGAGTTCCCTTTTGGACTTTGAAGCAATTTATAATAAAGTAACCAAACAATTATCTCAAATGATTCAAATTTAAATTACTTTGGCTTGGTCGATAAATAAAAGGGACTGTAGCCACACCCATGGCCGGAAATACCTTTTAATTTTACGATTTTGATCAGCTTAAAATACTTGAAATTTATGGTCTCTTGAAAAGAAACACGTTTATAAAAGCGGAGCGGGTAAAATGTAAAATATTTATGATAAATCATTAAAACTAAAAATCAATACTTTTTTTTAAGAAAAAAAATATAAAATAATTTTTTTTTTATTATTTTAAAGGAGGAAATATTTTACTATTATAAAGATGTAATATTAAACTTTGTAGAAGATAGATATGTAATATTAAATTGTTAATCAGTTTTTTTTAAATATCTTATTATTTTATTAAAAAAAATAAATAAATATTTTAATAAATATAAATTGGATTACCAATAAAAAATAAAATAATAATTAAGTATTTATTTTATTTTTTTAAAAAAAAAACAACTTTTAAAAGAGTACAAAAAAAAACTCCTGCTGGCAAGGCTGCGCCAAAAAATAAAGAACTTATAAAGGCCACCGGGTAGGAAATATAGCGCGGGGCTGAATTGACCCCTTCTGTATATATAATCATACTACAAAAAAAGATGTATCCACTAAAAAAAATGAGCTCTAGAATCACGCTATTTATCCTATTTCCTAAGTCATCGAGTGGTCTTAAGGACGAAATTATTTTGTTATATATTATTACTACTACTTTATAAAGGATAAGGCAAAAACAGGGTTTAGTTAAATAGTATAAATTTTTTTTTAAAAATATACATTATCTTCAACGTAATAAAAATTATGTTGTAGGTCACAATCTAAAATAATCATAAAATAGGTAGAAATATAAAGGTCATTCTTATTTTAGAAATAAAGTCAATTTTATTTTTTGGCTTCTGAGAGTGTTCTGGATATGTTAACTCAATTAAATCGTCCAGTCCGTCTCCTGGTTGGACTTATTTTATTAATTGCTATTTAGCCTAGGCTAAATAGCTTTTAAACGAGGCCACCTTATTTCGGGTTATTTTAAGTGGTTGGTGACATTATTATTTTGTCGTATTTTTTTTAGCCTGTGTCGAAACGAAACAGCCGATCAAACAATAGGTTGCTTGGTAATAAGTCGACCCTAGCCCTACGGACTATAATAGCTATATGAACTAATATCAGTAAAATCATAATTCCTTAGAGGAAAAATACTAGGGACCTCTATGATGTAAAAAAATAAAAAGATTATTATTTTTTAAAATCGAATTTCCGGAACCGACGGGTATTGTACCCGTTTTGCAGATCATTAGAGTAAAGGGTAAATTTTTTTGTGGACTTAGGTTAGAAACCATCTATTCAAAATCCTTCCCTTGCACGAATATAATTCCTGTTTTTTAAATTAATTTTGGAAGCCATGACACCACTTTTTGTTTTTTTTTTAAATTAGAAATTTCGGTATAAGTTGATGATATCTTTAAAATATGCTTATACTCCCTATATTTTTTTAAATCCAATAATCGTTATATTTTTTTTAAAAAAAAGACAAATCAGTAATGTTGGTAAACGGCTCGATTTGTGTCGATTTTTAAAACGGCTAACTCAATATTTTATCCGGAAAAATATTAAGCAAGCCCGAAGACTTTGCGGTTAGATGGAACGAACGTTTGGACATTTATTAGTGAAATCTCGAATCTTAGGCAATATTTTTCTGGCTAAAATATTAAGTTAATATTTTTAAAAAATAGGTTCAGAATGAGCCGTCTAACAACACTACAAATCAGGAAACAGCCTTAGTATTTTAATTACACTCTTGAAAGGAACATTATCGGAAGGAAAGTGATACCTATGCGCATGTGCGACCTTATCGGACCGTATGAACGTAACCAACTGTTAATTTCTATGAACGATTTGAAAATTAACCACTCTTGTTAGGGAATATGCTTTAATAACCCCCGCTCCCGAGGTGCGTACGCAGCTGGGGGAGGGCAGGAGAACAAATCTCAACCCCCCTTCCCCAAACCAAAAAATTCAGAAAATACTCATAAAAAATATCAATGTTTTATAATATTAATTTATATTTTATAATCATTTCTACCTCTTATCGCATATATATTTCAATTTACATTTATCACATTCACAGCAGAAATAAACATGCTACTAATTTATTCTATGAATTAATATCGATTTCAAATTTTCCTTGGCGTTTTTATCTACCATTTTAAAATTTCCCGCCTAATCATTTGAAACTTTTGAACTCACGAAGATAATTTCAAAAAAATTAATATTTAAGGTTTAAAATTTCTTTAAAGAATGGATAATAAGTAATGTTCTTAAACGGCTCAATATGAGCCGATTTTTAAAAACGTTTAACTCAGTATTTTAGCCAGAAAAATATTGCCGAAATAACAGAATGGTCTAAACAGGCATTTCTCCAGAAAGCAGACAAATTATTGGACAAGATATACTTTAGCCAAATTTTTTTTATTATATTAGAATGTATAAACAAATTATTTAATTACACGAATATTTTATGTAATATGTTTGAAAAAAATTACACAGATTTGATTGAGATGGTGATGATTTCATGCGCCGATTTAATATTTATTAATTTATTTTTTGTGGTCACTAGTCCTAATAAATTTCTGAAACATAAGATATTTTAGAATAAATCCAAAACATTATAGTTTTAATTATCCCCCCCCCCCCTCCATAACAAACTCATGCGCACGCACTATTAATGTTAAACAAAAAAAAATTTAAAAAAGATTTAACAAGTAAAACTAAATAAAAAGATGCGTGCAAAAAAAGAAATGATTAAAAACCTTAAAAAAAATAAATATTATTTTTAGTAAAAAAATAGCAATTAAGTTATATATTTATAAGCCTAAGCTAGAAATGTGACAACCTTTTTCATTATGACATTCTTAGATTGACACCTTTCTAAGGTAAATTCTATTCCTGGCAAAAAAAAAATCTTACTAGAAAAAAAAACTTATTAAAACACTATCCCTAATCCTAACCTTATATCGAACAACATTTATATGAGAGGTTTCACTATATTTTATTTTGAATTTCGAGCAATTATTCAAATTCTAATGCCAAATTTTAGGATAATCATGTATAAAAAAAAGTTATTATATTCTTATTTCTTTCTCTCTCTTTCTTTTCTTTCTTTCAAAGATTCAGTTTGGTGCAAATGTGGGAATCCCTTTCCCTCCAAAATACTAACAATGTAATACGGTTATAACTTACACTAAACCAATGTTGTTATAAACAGCTCGTTTTGAGCCGATTTTTAAAAACGTTTAACTAAACATTTTATCCAGAAAAATATTATGCGCGCCGCCTTAAGATTTCGCTCATAGATGGCAAAATGGTTTGAGAATCTTAAAACAAAATCCCGAGGCTTGGGCAATATTTTTATGGCTATAAAATTGAGTTAGCCGTTTTTAAAAAATCGGCTCAAATCGAGTCGTTTAACAACACTATACACAAAACTCAACATTATTTTGTACCTTAACTTACGGATTTAATTGACGGCAATTTCAAACTGCGCAATGTGCGCGGTACTCACGCGATAGAATTGGAATTTAAAAATAATTTGATTGCAAAAAAAAAACCTTTCTTTAGAAAAAAAAATTAAAGAATAAATTGTTTATTCAACATGTAAAATTTATGTTTGTTTAATGTACAAAGCCAACCATCATCACGCTCCATTAATTGATATAACAATATTACAAGTCGATTAAATTCATGTTATTATTTTTACAATTTTTTTGAGTTTTATCTAACAAAAAATAACTTCCCAAAAATCATTTTACTTAGGGAATTTTGGGATCAAAGGTAGCAAATAAAATATTTCTATCGTCCAAATTAAAAAATATGAAGTCTTAAAAAATTACTAAAAAATAATTCTCTATATATTTTTGGCAGAATTTAGTTTATATGGAATTAATTGGGGAAATATTCCCCAAAATATATCAACGATCACGAATAGTGTTGTTAAAAAGCCCGATTTGGGTCGAGTTTTCAAAACGGCCCGGTTAAGATTTTAGCTAAAATAATATTAATGTAAGAATCGAGATTTGGCAAAAAGATGTCCAAGCATTCCTGCCAGCTATGAGCAAAATCTTTAGGCTTCTGTAATGTTATATTTGGTTATAATCTTAATCCGGTCGTTGGCTTTTTAACAACACTACTCACGAATACGTTTAATCTGGTTTTGTTTGTATACAAAAAAAAATAATTAAGGATTAATTTTTTTTAAAAAATTATCTAATTCCACGAATAAAATTTGTTGTTTTTAATATTTGATGCTTACGTTAAGATTATTTTTACGGGTTATCGAAATTTATTTTTTCCTATTAAAAACATGTTAATTTGAGAGCCCTGAAAATTAATTTTCTTTTTGATTCGAACCCGGCCCGTATTTATTAACCTTTTAGACTCGGTCGGTCAGAATTTTTTTGAGCCCGGTAATTTTAGTTTATACTTTCTTTTACAAAATCATATCGTTTGCGGTTAGTAGAATATTTATAGGTTCGGAAAAAAAATTGGCAAAATTTAGCATCACGAGTCGAAGAATATAATATATTTCGTTATAAAAACTACATGAAAAACCTTACCTAGCATCTTATTAGCACAAAAACATCATTAATCCATATTTGGACGCTATTCAAAGAATAAGAATAATAAAATAATGGTTGCCAAAAAAATTATCAATACCGATTTATAAATTTTTAAGTCAAATAGAGATTAGTTAAAATTACAGAAAAAAAATCAAATCATCTTAATCCTCCTTAAAAATAAAGAAGTCACCACCTCTAATAAAATAGCACGCATTCATTTTAACTTTTTAGGTTCGGTTTATTAATTTTTTCTAAAAATATTTACAAAATAAAGAATGGCTCAGATGGCAGATTTGTTCGAGAACGTTCACTTAACATTTAGGTTTGACTTCGTGTCTAAAATATAATTATATTAAATTTAAAGATGATAGGTAGGTGTTTTTTTTAATTCCGAGGCTTTTTGGATGATCTGATTTTTTTTTAAAACGTTGAGTGTAAAACTTGGTTGATTTTTGTGAGAACTAGATTGAATCCATCCCTAGAGAGGAGCATTAGATCTCTGAAAGCTTTCTGGCAGACACTAGGCTCTGTTAATATGGTGTACAGAAGGCCTAAACTGATCACTTCGTATTGTTGAGCACCTGTAGCAGAAGAAAATAGATTACGAATGAGATTTATTTTTTGAAAATAAAATTTTAAAATTATAAGTTTGAACAGAAAAAAATTGTATTTGCCTTTGCAAACTATGCCGTTTAATGTGTCGTGTATTTCCCTTTCAGATAAACCGGTACAACTAGAGGTCAATACTGAATAACAATATTGAAATCTTGCATCTATCTCATCTCTGGGATCTATGACAGTGTGGTTAAACAATTTGGAAGAAGCTTTGTTCATTTAATAAATACCTTCTCTTCGTTCTATCGCAAGATTACATCCAAGTCCTAAAAGATAAATTTAAAAAATATAACTTAGGACATTTATTTATATCATATTTTCTAAGGGATTTAAATTTTCGCCGCAAAATATTGTATTTTTTTAAAGCAGACGGCTTTTTACATTTTTATTTATTTATTATTAAAGTTATTTTATTTATGATGAAACAAAAAAAAATATTTTTAAAAAATAACAACCAATCAGCTGTTTTGCATAAAATAATACGCAAATGGATAACATCCGAATTATTGCGCGAGAAAATATAGATCCCTATAATAGAAAAAAATCATTTTAAACATATAAAATTATGATGAAATAATAAGACATTTTTATGAAAATTATATTCTTACGTTAATTAGTTTAAAAAAACTGATTTTATGACAAACAACTAAACTGAGGTCTCCAGCGATAAATTTTTTAAAATAAAAAGAATTTTTGTAAAGTGTTGGATAAATACAAATATATCGTTTATATATTGAAATTTTGGATCACGTGAGCAAAACAAAAACGCGGCGCATTATTTATTATTTTGTTTACTTTTTTTCTAATATTTATTGGTTGATGAAACGAAATCTTAAAAGTAAAGTATATAATTAACAATAAAAATAATCGAATTTGAAGGTTTAATAAGCCAATCGATTCTTTTTATCATTTATTTATAAATCTTATTTTTGAATAAAGGTTACCTATGAAAAAAGACTTCTTTACAGCTGAAGTAGGTATATTGTCGAATTGTGATGGCTCTTGCATAATAAATACTCCAGAAATTACATTACTATGTGGTGTACAATCACCTTCAAAATTGAGTGAATCAAAAGAATCTTGCGAAGAAGCTAAATTAGAATTTTTTTATAATCCTTTGTATAATGATCCTCAAATTTCATCTCAAAATAGTGAATATAATAAGCTAGATGATGAAGATGATTTCCTTAAACCCATAGATAATATAGTTATAGATGAATCTAAGATTGAATTAAATCTTCTTAATATGTCCAATAGCCATTTAAGGTATAAATTGTACCCCAGATTGAATAAATGCCAGGAATTATTTTTGCTTTCTGTATGTCGTAATGCTATATATTTGGATAATTATCCCAACACTTTAATATCTATAAGTATACAAGAGCTACAGCAATCACTTAGCTCAACTACTCATAATCTTCTATCAACATGTATAAATGCATCATGTTTAGCATTGATGGATTCAGGAATTGCACTCAAATATATGTTTAATTCTCTACCAATACACACATCCTTGCCTTTAAATAAAAATCTAGAAGAAAATTTAATTAAGAGCCATAAAATCAACTCTATTTGCACTTTAGTATTTAATCAATTTAGTCCAAAATTTATTTCATGTTATTGTAAATTTGGTAAAAAATTAAATATTGATGAATTGTCTTTTTTAAGAAAAGCATTAGAATTTCATGATATTAGAGAAATTCAAAGTATCTTTGAATTATACAAAAATGTCTTGATAGCTAAGCACAATAAAATATTTGGATAATTTTATTACATTTATATATATATATAATTGAAGACCTTAAAGTTTAACTATTGTAAGATGTAAATATCTAACAAATTAAAATAAAACATTAATTGCACATTAAATAATTTGCCTAATCTGAATAATATTTATGGATTTATATTGTGGATTTTTTAATTTTTTTTGGCCCATCCTAACCTGTAAATTTGCCTTGCTTGATATATAAAATTATTTAGCAAAAGTTACATGACACAAAAATCTTTTAGCCCAGGGCTTAGATATTGTACCAATATCTAATTTCAATTACTTTAAGGGGTTAAATATTAATCCTTTGTCATATATAGAAATAATTTCCCTAATAGTGTTCTTAAATGGTCCAATTAAGATCAAGATAATATTATGAAAGCCTGTAGATTTTGTGCTCATGTAGGGATCTCTATTTTCAAATTATTGAGAATTGCATATTATTGGCAAATCTTAATCCAGTCATTTAGCAATACTAGATCCTAAGGTTTATTAGACCAAGGCTTAATAATTTGTAAAAAGCAAATTGATTAAGAATTAGAGAAGAAAAAAATCAATACCATAACAAGGCATTTTTTTCCATTTTTTAAAATAATGACTAATTTAAAATTTTCAGAAAAAAAATACATTAAAATGGATGGATAAATATATATTTAAAAAAAAATGTAACCCAGAAGTATATCCCTTCAAATTGGATGAAACTGCAAAATATTTAGCCCCAAGCCCAAATTTTTAATGATTTATTTAGCATTTTTATTAAGATATAATCAAAAAATCACTCATGGATAAAGTCTAATTATCATTTTACCTTGATAAAACAAGAGAAAACATTCCTATGTTATTAAAATATTTCTCAAACCTGGACTGATTTTTTTTAAAATTTCAAGCCACATTCTGACTTGGCTTATATTTTTAAATACAATAAGTGTGCCTAAAAGCTAAGCTCCTATAGAATTAATAGAGAGAAAGCCCATTTATGCTCCCCTCCACCACAGTATTTATTGCAAAGCAACAGTAATTGAGGCTTTTGGAAGAATCGTTTGACTTAAATGATTTAATAGTTAAAACAGCACCCCAAATATTTCCTAGTAATAAGCATTTTTTTTATAGTCATTTAAAAAATATATATATACTCCTTAAAATCTATGGGCTCACTTGCATTGTGCATTTTATTCTATTAAATTTTTCTGTCTAAAACTAAATATAAGAATAACATTTAGGAATACCAGCACACCTCCAATTACATTACTATATAAAATATTTTATGGTTAGTCTTATATTAAAAATGAATTCTTTATTTCAAAATTTGGTGCATTATTTTTTATCTGAGGATTAAGTAAAAAATAAAAGCGATTTAAAGGACCAAAACTACTCCTAATCTCTGACCTGGTTTTATATATAAATTTAAGAATCTAGAATAGACTTAGTCTCTACTAATATTTAAACAATATTGGTGAATGCCTTAAACCTAAGCTAAGCCAATATTTTGAGCTTCGTTCAAAACCAATGTTACTTCCGGAATGGAGAAAAGGCACCAAATGTTGGGGTATATTTTATAATTTATGCTTCAACAATATTAGATTTCAGTATGATGCAGAAGTTTTATAATTATTAATCCATTCTTTTTTTTTGTTTGTATCCTATTATAAAACAATAAGCATTAAAAGCGTCTTCCCTAAAAAATTTTCCACCCTTGTGCCAAAATTTAGATTGGTTGAAAACTACAATAAAGGTTACGCCTGGTAGAAAATGTTTCATGTCATTCTATTTCTCCATTTCTATATACTGATTTACTTGTATTAAAATTATAAAAATCGATTTGCCGTTTTTCTGCGGCCTTTAGGCAATTCTTAAAATTTTCGATTCTGGTGATATTTGATTTGTACAGTGTTACCACCCACAAATAAAACACGAAATCTTAGTATTTACGGAAATTTTAGAATTTACAATCATTGGAGGATGCGGGAAAAATTAATTATATGTATAGATTTATAACTTTTTTCCTATTATCGACCATATTTGATCCTTGTCCTACCCTATATGAGAATAGAGATACTAAAGTTTCATATATAAAGAACCTAGTAATGGTTAAGTGGTGCGATTAGCTCTATTTTTTTTACACATAGCGATGGAGTTATTACTGCGTTTAGCATAAATAAGGCCTAAGGCTACATTTATAGTAAGCGCGATGACGCTCTTCATAGCTATGTAATTGCTTAATTTAGATAACATCGCTATGAAGATTTATATTATATAGTTTAATATAAGCGCCATAATTGAAAATTTTATGTTAAACCTATTTTCGACTTCAGATTCTAAAAATAAAATGTAAATGATACATAAGCTAAAGAATACTTTGTCAGCCTTAAAACTAGGGATTTACGTACTCCAAGCCGCAATTTGATTGGTATTTTTTAGTTTGATCATTTGGAATAAGTATTTTTAAAACGTTTTTTTTTTATCAGAACTTTACCCAAATTATTATTTTTTTGAATATCTTTTATTTATAATAAAGTTAACTTTTTAAAGAAGTATGATTTTATTTTTTTTAAAAATATAGAAATTTAATTAAAAGATCGTAATAATAAGATATATTTTTGATTATAAATATTACACGCAAATAACCCCATAAAAAAGTACTTCCGAAATATTTTTTCCATGATTATCAAAATTACTTGAGACCTAATAATAAAGGCATATTTTTATTTGTATTATAATAATTACACTCAATATAATAAGGTATAGACAAATTAGTATTATAATTATATTATAGCGAATATAATATCTCATTCATCGTTTACTTTTTTATTCTTCCGTTTCATTCATTTGTTAAGTAATTTAATAGAAATGGAAATTGAAATCATAGAAGAAGATAATATTATTGAATCACCACCTTCAGCCAAAGAATAACTATTGATTTAGACAATAATATTAATAGTGCAAATGAAAAAAATAGATAAAATTAAAATTTGAAAATATGTTAAAGAATTATATAAATTTTTTGAAAGGATTCTGGGAAAACATGTAAAATATGTCTTCAAATTTTTCCAATTCTTCAAGCACAATTAATTATGCATATATATCAAATTGAGAGCTCATTAATAAATGAATAAAAACTTCATCAAATAAACCTACTTATAGTTATGATTAGAGCTGGAAACAATAAAAATGAAAGATTAACAAAATATTGTATTGGTATTGGATGGGTAAAAAATGGAAAAATTTTTGATATTTTAGAAGATAATTAGAATATTTATTTACAAATCAGTTTTATTTTATAACCAAATATTCACATTAAACAACAACTAGTTAAATATGTTAATCAAATGATTTAAATTATGTTCAATATTTTTCTATTGATTTAATCTTTTTGTATAAATAATACAATAAAAATTATTTGATGACATAATTAAAATATTAGTAATTTATCAAATTTCATTTTTAATAAATTTCCTGCAGAATAAATCTTTTATAGCTTAACAAATAAAATTTTAAGACCGGACTGGACCGACGGTCCCAGGGTCTGGTCTCACTTGCCTTAACGATCCATCATAGGACCGGATGGGACACGTTGCAAAAACTATTTTAAACTAATAGAAATTTCCCTCTATACATCCCCTCCCTCAACCACCCTCTCCTCCAAAAAATGTATACAATATATCATTACAAGGAAGAATTTGAAAGATTAGTAAAAGTTAATAACCTTATAAAACAATGACTATATTCAATTTTTTTTAGAAAAAAAGACATAAACAACAGAGATAGGCAAATTCGAATATACTGCCCTTCATTTTAATTTTTTTTTAAAAATGTGAAAATCCAAAATTATTTTTATAAAAATCTATTATAGCCAAAACTAAAATAAATGGGAGATCACTAGTGTTGTTTCGATTTTTAAAAACTGCTAACTTAAGATTTTGGCCAAAAAATATTGGGCAATTTTGCTCATAGGAGACAGGAGGGTGTGGGCATCTATTAACGAAATATCGAGGGTTGCTTAATATTTGTTGACTGAGCCGTTTAACAACACTAAAGATCTCAAATAAATTTAATGGAGAAAAAATTTACCTAATAGACCCCCCCCTCCCCTTAACAAAATCCTGGATACGGTTATGCTGGCCCCTAATATAAATTTGGTCAGGAATTACAAATTACAATCACGAGTATGAATGGTTAGACATTTAATGTGAATAAATTTTATTCTGTTTAAACAAATGAGAAATACACACTTTAAAAAAATTATTAGCAACTTTTACCTTTTTAATATACATTACAAATGGTAAGTAGAAATCATTAAAAATACATTTATAACCATAAGTCGATACTATACATGTTGTTTACATCATTCAACCGAACTATCAGAAATTGTCGATTTTTTTCTTTCCGGTCCTCTTCGGCGTCTCTGTTCCTGCGTTATTAATTTTGCAAATTTATAATTTTACACAAAAATATTTGGTTTATATATTTTATTTTAATTTTTTACAAAAAACTTTCATTTCTCACCTTGCCCAGGCTAAATTACAATATTTTTAATTTTCCTTAATAAATATATTATATGGTTCCACGTCAATTCGGCGCGGAAAATTCGGCGCACGACAATTCGGCGCAGAAAACTCGGCGCGGCGACAACTCGGCGCCGTCAATTCCGGCGCGGCGACAACTTGGCGCGGCGACAACTCGGCGCAACGTCAATTCGGCGCGGCGTCAATTCGGCGCGTATCTAATACAGTTGCAATTTATTATAAATTTATTAGTATAAAAAAAAGGATGATTAAATAGAAATGATTTTGAATGTTGGTCATATTAATTATTTCTTCGTATTTTTTTTTACAAAAATCTCAATTTTATTTACTAAATGTGTAATATCAATAAAAAAAAATTAACAACCAATATTTATACCGATTTCCTTGCTGGACCAATTTACCACAAAGGTAGGGGAGACTGGGGTTAGTCGGACCGATTTTTATAAAATTGGCTATAGCTCCTGGTTTTTTAGATAATATAAAAAAAATATATGATTAGATACCTAAAACTATACTCTATAAAGGTTCCTTATAAAAAATTTTAAGAATTAATCATTTTTTTTTGAATTTTACTTTTTGTAAAAGAACAATTTTGTCCAACAAGCCCCAATAGCGGGTAAATTAAGGCAAGTTATATATAAAAATTGAAACTATGGTTAATTTAATAAACATTTTGTATTTTTTTCATTATTAACTGCCATAATTGACTTGTATGGTTTAGCAAGCCCTGCTAACTCTAAATTTCTGGATATAATAAATACTCATAAAGCTTTCCCAAATTATAAAAACTTCATCAATATTTTATTTCTTAAATAAAATTTTTAATAATTATTTCAAAAGATTTTTTGTCTATAGACGTAAACTAATAAAAACTATATTATAATAAAATTTTAACCTTCTGGTGTATTTAATTTTAAGATGAGATTAAGTGGTTTGCCAAGCCCCGGTATCTAACCCCAGTCTCCCCTATTTTGATTAGTAGCCAATATTATGTAAGCGAGATTTTGCGCTAAATGTAAGAAAAGTTTGGACTTCTATCTCTAATCTTACATGTTATTATGGCAATCGACCCAAATCGGACGTTTAACAACACTAATGTTGATCCAATAAAATTCAAATTAAGACTGATTCATTTTTTAGATTTATTAAAAATCCTTAAAATAATTCTATTAATCATTTTAAATATATATTATGTTTAACTAATTTTTTCTATTATAAAATAATCAAAAACGAATTAACGCACAAAGGCAATTTCATGGCTGTTTATGATTGGTATTTAGGATTTATGCTAAGAAATCATAATATCTCCTTTATGTCCAAAATGTTTATTAAATTATCCTAAATTAAGTTTCAATTTTTATATATAATTTGCTTCAATTTATAAGTATTATGATATTTTTAACAATAAAACAATAAAATTATTCTATACGTATCATTATTAATAAATAAAAATGCATTTCAATTTATTATGGCTAAAAAAACCAATGATTTAGGAAGCCCCTTGAATTTGCCTCACCCCGCTATTGGGGCTTTTTGGATATTTTTTTACTTTTTCAAAAAGATAAATTTAAAAAAAATGATTATATTTTTAAAATTTTTATAAGGTACCTTTATAGAGTATAGTTTTAGGAGGTATCTAATCTTATAAGGAGCTAAATTTTGTAAAAATCGGTCCAACTAACCCCAGTCTCCCCTACCTTATAATGTGGTAAATTGGTCCAGCAAGGAAATCGGTATAAATATTGGTTGTTTTTTTTATTGATATTACACATTTAGTAAATAAAATTGAGATTTTTGTAAAAAAAAATACGAAGAAATAATTAATATGACCAACATTCAAAATCATTTCTATTTAATCATCCTTTTTTTTATACAAATAAATTTATAATAAATTGAAACTGTATTAGATATGCGCCGAATTGACGTTGCGCTGAATTGTCGCCGCGCCGAGTTGTCGCCGCGCCGAATTGACGATGCGCCGAGTTGTCGCCGCGCTGAATTGACGTTGCGCCGAGTTGTCGCCGCGCCAAATTGTCGTGCGCCGAATTGTCGTGCGCCGAATTTTCCGCGCCGAATTGACGTGATACCATATTATATGTTACAAAAACTTCAAATACTTAATCTCTTAATTCTTAAGATCTTTTATGATCAAATATATCTAATCAATATAAGGGGAACTTTAAGTATTACTTTTAAATGTAAATATTAAATTCATTGGTTTCAGAAATTCGATTCGAATACGAAGAACCCAATTTATATTTGTTTAAAGTAATCTTAATAAACCTCATCCAAGTTAGCCAAGTTCGAAATATCGGTAAGCGAAAACCGAAAAATATCGTCGGTTCCTGTATAGGTCTCAGGAAGAAACATACTTGAAGTAATTTGAGAAATTTGGGAAGGAGATGAGTCTGTTTTAGGTGCCCCATGAATTTCTTTCATTTTATCCCCATCAACTTTCAATCTTTCTCCCTCCCGGATGGTTTCCATAAGTTTTTGAGTTGCTGCGTCGGGTCTATGGGTTTCCTGCTTACCGCTCACCAAAGAGACAGTTTCTACTGAACTTATTTTATTGAGGCTTTGGTTAGATGAGGGTTTGCTCTTAAGCCCTGAAATACCGAAAGATTTGGGAAACAAAACCGAGCCTAATTTTTTGACTAAGCTGTTTTTGCGAGTCGACATTCCTCCTCTGTAGGAATCGATGGACATCAATGATCCTGTAACGGAATTCCTCTCTTTACCCCTAATAGGTAGAGGTTTAGTAATCAGCCTTTTTAAGAGGGGTTGCTTGGTCTCTTCGACTAAACTAGTACCGAGAATATAATTCTCGAGATCTACTATATTTTCTTCCTGTATTTTTTCCAGTGGTAGAAAATGTGACTCTTCAGGAACAATTTTGACGTCCACAGCCGAACCTTTGGGGCCCTCTTTCTCTGATTGAGCAGATGCGGTGGTATAAGGTAATTTGACCTCTTTTAGGTCCCAGAAAGAATCTTTCAGTAATTCAGGATGTTCATTGTACATTTCATCTACTAACACATAGCCAATCTAAATTTCCATAATGTAATGAATTTTTGCAAGATTAGTTATATTCGCGGTAGTTGTTTTAAATATCAAATAATTTATATATTTTGCAGAAATAACCGAAAAAGCCTAACCATTATCATAAAACAATGTAGAAATTAAATTCACTGATTTATAAATTTTGATTTAATTAAAATACACTTCATTTACTTAAAAGATAAAGTAAACGCAGCACATTATTAAGTTTATAATACCTTAAGATGCCTGTCAATTAGATAATTAATTTCAAAATCATCATCATCTTCTCCAAACGGATTGACAATTGTGGCAGCTATTTTGATCCAGCCCATGTAAAAAAGAAATTGAAATAAGAAAAACACAGTGGAGAGCCAACTAAATTCAGAATCTATTGATCCCTTAGCTATTTTTTCCAAATCAATATCAACTAATTGCTTGCCCATAAGATTCGTCAAAAAATACGAATATAACGAGATTACTACGACTTGCGTGTAGATTAAGGGAATGCAAACCCAATCGTAGTCGAATGTTCTCCTACAGGCCTCGTGAAATAAACAAATCTCTTCAACCAGCTTACACAAAGCAAACTCGTCTTTTATTCTTCCTTCCTTTTTACATACAGAAATGAGGGTATTGCACCAAGCCAAAGGGATCAACCATTTAGGGTAAATACATTTGACATTTTCATAGGCTTCTTTTTCCACTAAAAACATGACCCCGCTATCCACTAAATGATTGAGGGTAGGAAATCTTTTCTTAGCAGGTGTCGATATCTGCCTCATGAGTAAAATGAAGGATATGTTCACGTAACGTATAATTGTTCTTCTAAGAAGCCTCCCCCTTTCATCCAGTCCTAGAATGAAAGATGAAATACTAAATCCTAATGTGTCGGGCCATGGCAGAGAATCGTAACGATCCCAAAATCTATTCACGACGGTAGTAATGTAAAAAGCTAAAATGAAAGCTAATGGAATTCCGTCGGCAATTTTTTGACACGCCAAAACAGCTGTTTGAAACATTCGTCTTTTTTCTGGATCATTCTTTAATTTATACCTATACACCAATTATATAACATACCATGCATAAAAATGATATCACGATTTACCTATATGTCATGTTTATGGTTAAATACATGCAAATAAATATCAAGAATTCTTTCCATAAAATTTTATAAACGGTTCCTTTCCAGCGAATCAATATTTTAAAAAATACCGAAAAAGATTCGGTGGCGACATCTGCCGAATATGAAACTGTCATTTATAAAGCTAAACAATTACATATCAACATATATATTTTAAAGTTAAAATGATGGAAAAAAATAACATTTCATACATAAAATGATTGAAAATGATTGTTTATATATACCATGTATAATATGTTAATAACATTTATTAAATGGGCAAAAAAAATATATATTTGAATGCAAAATCGCTCCATTTGAACCTATTTTTTTAAAACGACTAATGCAATATTTTCGCCAAAAAAATATTGCCTAAGTCTCGCGATTTCGCGAATAGTTTCGCAGTATAAATAACAAATGGTGATGAGGCCCCTTTATTTTCAAATTCAATTGTATAAACTTAGGCCAATAATTTTTCAAATAAATTATTATTATTAAGGATGTCCGATAAAAAATACATTTAATTTTTTTAAAAAATCAGTACAAATGATGTCTATCTGTGGGTGTTTGGCCGTCAAAAAGATTAAGCGTTATTTCAGGCCAAGTAGGATTGCAAATGACAATGAGCGTTATGAATAAATCAGGTTTATCATATTTTAATACAATATTCATGGCATCATGGTAACGTTCTTTCATATTTCTAGGAGAGCCTTGTAACGAAGAAGGCAAAATAATTGGGCATCTTATTTGGTGAATCAACATTATCAAAACCCAGATACAAAATAATCCGTTAAACCTGAATATTTCGCTACACGTAGCGTAGCTTGGTCTAATTATATTTTATAAAATGTAGGTTATTATGAAATACCTAAGACAAATGAAAGTATTAATATTTAATGAAAATAAATCAATATACATATACATATTAATAGTAAAAATTGTTCAGCTCATATAAAATATGATTTTAAATTAATGAGGTCAAAAATAAAAAATTTATTTTAATTTACCTAATCTTTGGTAATCTTTTTGTTCTTTTACTCAATTTTTGATTTTATTTCAAAAAAAAAAATATAAGTATAAAAATGGTGATAAATAGAAAATGATTAAAAAAAAGGATCCAATAAAAATGAAAATAAAATTTAATTAAACCAATGATATGGGAGGATGAGTAAGCCAAGGTATAATATACAAAAACCGTATTAGATGTAGGGGGGAGAGGCAGCTGAATAGGTAGAAGGTTTGCCTATGGGGCGGGGAGGCGCGGGTTCGAATCTGGTTATACAAAATAAAATATTTTCCTCCCTGGGGTAAATTTTGCCCTAAATCCGAATTTGAACTCGAATAGGTTGAGATGGGTCGACCGGGCGGATAGGTCGTAAATTTAACATAAGGAGTTTACACTTTCCGTAACTTTTATAACATCAAAACGTTATGAAAGTTGACGGAAAAAAATATAATTAACATTAAGATGATAGGAAAATTTTTTCTTGATTACGGAGATAATATTATTAGATAACCTTGTTATGTCAATTCATAGGGGTGGCAGAAAATTTTCTTTTACTATTGAGTATATAAATGATAGTTTCGATAATCGCAGAGAAATAATCGTTTCAATATAATAAAACATTTTAGGATATCGCAGAGAAATATCGTTTCAATATAATAAAACATTTTAGAATATTAAGTAATATAAAGTTTAACAATAAAAGTCCACTATATCTATCAGAGACCTGCAGGACTATTTTTTAAAATATATCCGGGGCGGGCAGGGCCGTGTCATGCAAATGTTACCTCTGCATGTCTCTGATATCTGTATATGTTGAACAGTACATGTTAAATTTAGAATAGAATATTCCAGGCCCGTTACCAATGGGGGCCGGGGAAGGGGGAAATTTTACCCCCCATATCAAATTTGACTGTTTTTCTAAATATCATTTAAGCTAATAAAAATTTTACTTCCGACCCCGCCCCCTGCCCCGTCAAAATTTTTCAATATCAAGCATAGTTTATCCTTACTGCTAGTTGCATTAATTAATTATTTTCCTATAGCTCACTACTCCGTAGAAATTTACAAAAACCAAATTTCGATTTGGTTCAAGTTATTGATTTGGAGGAAAATGTGGACAGGAAGAATATGTAGATGAATATTTATAATATTTATATAGACGTTGAATCAAACTAAATCTTATAGAATATTATAAAATATCTAATATCATTCCATTCTTAGATTCTTTTTTATCGCAAATTAAAGTACGGTTTTTAGATAAAAACAAGTCTTTGGTAATCTTCAAATTTTATTGCCTAAAGATCTTCGTTTCCTGATGCCATTATTGGTAAAATTAAATATTTAGCAAAATTTTATTCCTATGATATTGATACTGAAATCAATTCAATCAGTAAATTCGAATTGTGGTATAAATATTTACTACTTTTATTATTTTACCTGAGCATGCTATTGATGCGCTCAATCGGTATAAGGAAACCTTAGCTTAATTTTCAAATATTTTGAAGGTATTTAATATTCTTGCATGTTTGCCTATTACAACACATACGAAGAAAGGATTCATCCCTTTTTTCCTCCCTCTAGGAAAATAAGAAACTTGTAGCCTCAGATGTTTGAAAACTTATTAAAATACTACTTCTCGGCTAAATGGGTTAGCTTTGTTTACTATCCACAGAGATTTAATTCCAACGAAAGTCGCATTATAATTCTAGTATTTAATAAATTTTTTATATAATATTGTATTTGATAATAAAATATAAAAACTTGTTCTTTAAAAAATTTTCTAGTCAATATTTTATACACACTACAAATTAGTATTTTCAATAAAAAATTTTTTATATTTATATTGTATGGGAATTTAAGATGAGGCTAGTTTTCTAAAGCAAATTTCATAAACACAAAATTTTTATTTCAATTTTATATTTTTTAAAAAAAATTTATTTATAATATACCTAACTTAAAATAAAAATTGTGTTATAACCTTTATTTCTTCTTTTATTCATAAGCGCGAATTAGTAAATAAATCAGGATACCCAAAAGAAAGCGTCTACTTAGGTCAACGCATAGGAATTCAGATTATAAAATCTAATTTCACATGCTTCATAGGTTCATAGGTTCATTCCCCGAGGAGCCCGATTAATCTAGATTTTCTTCCTCTTCCCTAAATTATTTAAAATTCCCCCTCCCCCTTCTTCCTCATATAATAATTTGCATTAATTATATTTCCTTTATATCTATTATTATACTTTGTATTATGAAGTCACTGTTTGTTAAATTTTTTCAATTTTCTAGAATATGTTTTGGACATGATTTTATTTTTATACTATCATTTTGTCAGATTTAATTTGTCTATTACATTATTAATAAATGTTAAATTTAAAAATTTAAAAAAAAAAATTCTTAAATAATTAATTTATAAAAGGAACCAAAATTCAAATAAAAGCTAAAAATATTGATATAATTATTAATAAATTATGAATAATTTAAAAGAATAGCTCAAAGATATGACCCAGCCGAAGGTGGGAAAAAAGTGGCCAAAGGCCAGCCAAAGAGGGTTAGAGGGGCAAAGGGCCCAAAAAAATCCCCCCCCCTATGGGAAAATCCTGGATACGCCACTGGAATATTCAATTCGTTTTGAAGGATTAAACCGTTTTGAAATTGAATGGTGAGGAATAAGAATAGTTAATTATTCGCTATTCGAATACGAATAAAGAACTATTTTATTTAGGTAATTCGTCTTTTGGAATAATTATTGGAATATTTTGATCGAATATTTTGATCGAATATTTTGATCGAATATTTTGATCGAATATTTTGATCAAATATTTTGATCGAATATTTGGATTATTTCGGGATAATGAATATAATTGGCTTGAGGCAAGACATTAATGATCACTCGCGCCTAGTTTTTCAAACCCGACCCGGCCCAAATTTTTAAGAAAAAATTTGTTTTGCCCGGCACTATCTCGAACGAATATTTTTCATTTGTCCCGAAAAGCCCGTCGAAATAAAATACAAATTATTTGTCCTCCGAACCTGACCGGAATTTATTTAAATATAGAAAGAAATTTTTTTTTTGATTGTAAAAAAAAATAGCCTTGTTTCTAGCAAGAATGTTTAAACACATCAATTTTTTACCAATATGAAATGATATCTTAATTACAAATTTTAACCCGCCAAAATTTTTTTAACATAAGACCTGACCCTGCCGGAATCCGTTCTGACCGGGCCGGGTACGAGCTACGAGTCGGGCCGTGATTTGCAGTTCTCTACTTGATATTATAATAAATTAATACGCATTTTAATTTCGTTAATAACTTTAGCATATGTTCTGTAAATAATTCCCAATAATAATTCTTCGAAAATAAATCCAAAATTTTTAAATATTTTATTTGAGGATTTTTTATTTCGTGATTATATTTATAGGAAATTTTTTTTTCTCCTTATTTTATTAATTTTGGAATTTTTAATATCTTTAAAAAACGGGGATTTTTTTCCCGGGGAATTATTATATGTAAATTTTATTATTCGTATGAATATGAATAGTAAATTGTTTGTTTCGTTTATCCTTATTAGTGAAGGTCAATGGTCCGGTCCTATCGGTCTTATAACGGGACAGGACGGAACCGATTGTCGGACCTATCTTTTTTTGAGGATCCTGGTTCGGACCGGTCTTTTTATTTTTTACGGTCCAGACCGCGGTCCGGACCGGTCTTTTATTATTATTTACGTTTGCTTTACTATTCGATTAATATAATTTTTTTGTATATTTTATTTTATGATATTTTTCTAGATGAGTTATTTTAGATTTTGTTAATTTTTATTTTACAATATGAAAATCATAAGTTTGTCCAAGAAACATTTTACTTATAGTCCCAATAAAAAACAGTATGTGTTCATTGCAGTACCAAATTTAATGTATCGTCAGCAACAAGTAAGTAAATAATTATTTATAATTTTTTAAGCAATAAATTAATCAAAATAAGCAGTATTATTATTATAATATTTTGGTTATTATTTATATAGTTCTATTTTTTCTAAGAAACTGTCTGAATAATTCATTGTCAAAATAACTTAATCTTATTTTTTATGAAATAATTAGATACCTTATGCAGACATCTGATAAAACATAAA